ACGAAGTGGGGAACACCAGCAAAGTAGCCTGTATCTGATCTGAATCTCAATTTTTTTATTGTGCCCAAGGTATAACAATGCCATGTTGTGAAGGAAAAAGGAAGGTGACTAGACAACTTGATGCGATTTGTGCCCGGTCTTTTAAACGCAACATGCCAGGTTGTTTACCCTTGGCGACGCTAATATAAAAAATACAGCACCACAATAACCTAAAATGTTACAGCAATAGATACTAAATAAAACACATGGACCCATATATCAAAATGTAAGTGTAACGGGTTCGTACCCTAACTTAAAGGAAATGACGATTCCCACAAATACACAAACTAAATAGACCTGGCCATAGAGTGGCCGGACGTAACATTAATAAAGATAGAGACTAAGTTAAGAATAGCAAAGGTCAGGATTATAGAAATACAGATATACGAACAGGATACCAGAAATACACAAAGTCAAATATAAACCAAGGTCTATATCAGAATATCAGTTCAGACTCGCTATAAGCACTAAACGTGTATCAAGGCAGAAACCATGATAGGGAACTGAATAAGGGCCCAATAAGCATTACATAGGCTGACAGCGTTCGGATTGGTCCATGTCACTTTAAGGGCGAGTGTGACGGCTCATTTATTCAAACTACATAAGGACGCTGCACACAGGGAAGAAGCTGCCGCGTGGAGCATTTGGCCCGTGCTAACCTGTAGAAGGAACAGTTCGTTGGTGCTAAGCTAGTCACAGGGTTACTCTTTGGTTCGCGCATCAGTGTGGAGCATTCGGCCTGCACGAACCTGTAGGAGGAATGGTTCACAAGTGCCGAATGGGTGCAAAGTATATTCAGCATTTTACATCTCAGGCCACACAGCAACAGATAAGTACTGCACAAAATGTTAGCAAGGCTTAAAGTTCCCATTGACCACAAGGCAAATGAAAATTCAGCCCTGGCAATAAAAATTCACTCCTTTCAGTATGCAATTTGCTCTCCAGGCTTGTAGTGGCAAGTAACATTTAAACCTGGCTAGTAGCATAGAAGCTTTAATTTTGAGCCCTGAATACCATGACAATCAAATTCTTTTGAATTTGAATAATAGGCTAACACAAGTGTGGGGCATTTTTAGTGCAGTTTGACATTCTCCAGGGACTCTAGGAATCCTTACCATGTTCATAATCCCTGAGAAAATATGGCTACATTGTTGATTTTTGAGTCAATATTATTTTTCTAAATATTTCAGGGTTTTAATTTCTATTATTTGTCTTACAATACAAACTTGTTTTTATTCTTTAAACACTAAAGCAACTACCAGACACAGTATTATGATCCCTGTGGTCCTCTGTGTTCTCTTTGGCTGTAAGGTAGAATGATGGATGGGCACCAGATCTAGTAGTGGGAGTCAAGTCATCGCATGTGCAAAAATGCATCACAGAATTGCATATTAGCCTGTATAAGCACAAAATATCATTAAGATTGTTTCTTTTCAAAATATTATTATTGAATTTTTATAAGATTTGAAAAAAAACAAAAAATGAAAAAGGTACTAAAGAGAAAACTGGAAAATGGGGAAACATTGATAACCTTTTACAGTCATTTGTGACATTTATTATTAGAATAAATATTATAAATTATATTTATTATTATTAGCAGTTATATTATAATTTATGTCATCTATGAACTCTTTTGTTTTTTACATTGAAAACAATACCGCAATCCTGCATTTGTTATTGAGAACGAACACTAATTATAATCAACAGTTTCAAGGTTATTCGCAAAAGTGTGAATCGTCAGGAATTTTTTTTTTAGGCTGAAATAGTCAAATTGAAAAACTAACTTGAAGAAATTTGAAATTCAATTTGAGTTCAGTTTGAAAATTACCGTTTCCTTTTTTTCTTAAAGCATTTTCTCTGTCACTTTTTACCAGCTGCATCTTATATCTTTATATGTCCTTTTAATTGCGTTGTATAAGGTCACATTTAGGTCCAGATATGCTGTCCTTCAGTGTCGCCTTCCCACTATTTTCTTGAAATAAATACTTTATATTTCACTAACACATGGACAAATCCAAAGCAGGCCAGTTCTTATCTGTATAACTTCCTAGAAGCTCTCCATGTATTCTACTCCACGAAGAGAACATTTGTAGTCATCCAAAAACTTTAGACACACAAAGATATTCTAAACACGTTTTCAAACACCGTATTGCCAAAATGTAAGTGTTTAAGATTCATCGCTGAGTGCTTTTATTAAATAAAAATCTGGAATAACATTTATTTGAAATAGGTGATAACTAGTTACCACTTAAACCTCGGATAAACCTGCAATTTATTATATAGATTGCTGTTCAGGGATACCATAAAGGAGTACAATTTTGTATATTTACACAATTTTATTTATTTGTTCATTATTTACAGAGATATTGTTATATTGGTCAGATAAAATGTGTATGATTTCTGTTATATTGCAATCAGTCTAGCTGATTATGGCCGTATATTACGACTATAAAATGCTTACCCTGACATTTGGCGGCTTATTTATATATAAATATATATTTATATATTATTTCATATATATATGAATCCAGGGGGCTGCACTCACCTGAACATGCATAAATAGGGTGCTGCTAGGGACAATTTATACAATAAACACAATAGAGCGCACTCATTCACTAAACAGCAACTTCAAAGATCACAGATTTGATCAGTTTTTTTAGGCAAAAATAATGGGGGCTTAGTTACATTATATGATCATACAATGCATTCTTTGCCATTTAGGAGTTAAATCAGTTTGTTTTTGTTCATGCAGTCCTAACCACACCTCCACTGTCTGTGACTGACACAGCCTGCATGAGAAAAAACATATTTCATTTTCAATCAAATGTTAACTTACTTTAGAAGTTTGTATTTCCTGCCCTGTAAATTTAACTTTTATCACACACAGGAGTCTCATGTAGTATCCAGGTCAGAGGTGAGCGTAGCATTGTATGAGGAGATAAACAGAGAGGGACAGCAGAAGGTAGGGATGAATGAGAGTTGAGAACATACATCAGCTGATAATTGCTGGAGGTCAAGAGGGTTCAGGTTTCTCCTGAGTTGAGAAGGGTTAGACTGAGAATGTTGGGTTCTCAAGAACAAAATATAAGAGGTGGACATCTGAGAAAGGAAATGGAATGTTACTCAGATTAGACTTGCATGCATCCGATAAAACAAGATTGAGAAATGCCTTTGCTGCTTCAGTCTCTCCAACACTGGGGCATGTCTCTAACACTGTGGCATTTCTCTATGTCTCCTGTGGCATTTCTCTCCTGAGGTAACCTCAGCAGTCTAAAAAGGTAAATAAAACTATTATTTTATTCATTTTTATTGCACACAACGAGGGGCTTGTATATAAGTAGGAACAGGAGAACTATAGCCTTAGGAACACCGATTTGTTTTGTTCCATTAATGTGGAGGGACAGGCAGGTTCATATTGGGACAAGTGGTTTCTCCTTACACTCAGGGACAGTGCAACCATAAGGCGGCACAGACGGCCACGTCAGGTGCACCAGCAGGGGGAGGGGGGGGGAAATTACCAGGTGATCAGCAGGAGGGGAGTGATCATAACTCCTCCTCCTGCCAGTGACACCATGCACCTGTGCGAGCAGACCACAGTAGAGGATCTTCTGTATCCTCTACCTGGTCTGACAGGAAGTGCTGGCTGGGAGCAACAAACAGCTTCCTGTCAGACTGGATAGAGGATACAGCAGATCCACTACCATAGTCTGCTCGGCTACGCTACATGGAGGGAGATGAGGAGGCACAGGAGGGGAAAGGGGGGAGAGAGACCACAAAGGGAAGAGGAAGATAAATCAAAAAGGGAGGAGAAGTGTGTGGGAGATCAAAAAGTAAGTGGGGTGGAAGAGACCCCCACAAAAGGAGCTGGCGGAAAGAGACAAATGGAGAGGCTTGAGGGGGTGTTAGACACATAGAGGGACTAAGCGGAAAATAGAGTAAAACAGAAGGGCTTGGGGAGGGAGATACACAGAGGAGCATGAGGGGGGGGGAGACACACAGACGGGCTTTGGGGAGAGACACACCAAGGGGCTGAGGGCAGAAAGAAACACACAAAGGGCCTTGGGGGGAGAAAGAGATGCACAAAAGGGTACAGGGAGAGAAAGAGACACACAGAGGAACTGGGAGGAAGTAAAAGGGTGTGTGTAAGAGACACACAAGGGGGGTGTAAGACAAACATAGTTGAATAATGGAGGATAAGATACACTGAAGCAGTTTAGACAATCAGAAGAGGGGATAAGAAACACAAAAAGGGCAAGAAATACAAATGGTGGTTTAAACATATGTGAAGATATATTTTTTGCAGGGGCGGAGAGAGAGGAAAATGCATCTTCGCCTGTGTAGTCAAAAGTCCTTGTACTGGCCATGCTTACACTGATATGACATGATGAATATGGTGCTTTAATCTATAAGCAGCATTATATGGTTTTATAAGAGAACTGAAGTGAAAAATATATGATCATGCTAATTTTACTTGATTTTGGTTGATTTACAAGAAATTACTTGTCTCCTTTTTTTAATCTGATGTACCATGTCCATTTTACCTACAAAAATGTTTATTTTGTTTTTTTTAAATTTCCAATCCAACTTTTATTGAGATGATAGCATGTAATACACGACAGATAGTACCGGCATGGGACAAATAATTTAGACAAGTAATACACATTATATGCTATAAGTTTAACTGATGTAGGGAAATATCTCATATTATAATAGATAAAGTGTTGAGCAGAATAAACAAATTGCAATTGAATAAGCAGATATAAGACAGAAGTACACCCTGAAAGGAACCTGTCCTTTGGTGGGTAGTCCCAAACTAATTGAGACATTTAGCTCAAGAAAGCCTGTTGTGACACTTCTCCTAAATTCCAAGCAGGAGCGGCCATCTTTGGAGGCTATGTGAAAGGCCTCCCAAAAGCATTTAATCCAAACTTGGCTAAAACCCCCCACAGACTCAGTCCCAAGTTTTTATGCTCCAGAGATATGTGCAGAAGCGGAATCCACCTGTATCCGCAAGTAAGAGAGAAAATCGGTCTTGCAACAGTCCCCAAAATAATAGCACTCATGACTGTATAGGTAAGTTGTTTCTCCGTCTTTCGGTGACTCTGTGTAGAGGACTGTTCTCTCCTTTGCCATGACATTATACAGCACAGGAATTCTGCAGAAATGTGGTCCAGTCTAAACAGTGTAGACGCAATGGGTGTCATACTCGGGTCTCCGGTTCTGTTCTTTGCCATCTTGGAACCCATGAGGACCCGTCAGAATGGTAGGCATCTGGCAGTTTATGATGGACTCCTGGGTCTGGGATAACCCCCACTGGTCCAAAGGGAAGGGGGGATAGATGTGTTGGAGAGCAGCCAACTCTGCCACACCAGCCGTGTCTGGCTCGATTCAGACAATGCATGTGAATACAGCAGCAGGAGTGGAATCCTTAGATTTGGCGAGGTACAATCTCTTATGTGAGTGCATTTTTGGGGAAAAGATCAGCAAACTGACTGTAGTTATGTATACAAAACCCACGCTGAACACAAGAGCTCGCTCAACATGCGTCTGATCCTTTTTAAATTCAGTCTCCACTCCCACCATAATGTTATATATTACATACTAAAGCAAACCAGTTGCCCAATATTTGTTTGCCATGATAGGTGATCTTAAACAGCCTTGTGAAATCTAAAACTGTATTTATTTTTGTGTGTGCGCTGTTCCCTAATCTGTATTTTGCCTTCACTCTCGTTAAACTGAAAGCAAAAAAGATGGGATTAAGTTCACTTCCACAAGTGGTGTGGGTTAAAAGGTCATAGCTTCAAACTATGGTGTTGAGGAATAGCGACATGAGCTCTAACTGCTTAGGAGCTGATAAACTCATGCAGAAATTTGGACAGCCTATCTCACAAGTCGTTGACAGTTAGTTAAAGAGGGAGTGTTCTTTAGGATTTTTACATCTGTTTCAGGAAACATTCAGAGCAAAGACATCCAAGTTTGCCTCAAGGAGCATTTGACATCGTAGCTGTCTTGCAACTTGAAAATGAGACACTGTGTAATAACATCGCTCCAATGGGATGTGTGTAAAATCCTTGCATTTATCGTTTTTACTGTTGAAGCCTTTCCCCAGACAGAGCTAAAACTCAGCCAAGGTGAGTGCTTTTGCAAACGTTAGAACAAATGTAGAATCTATACTTTTATAGTTTTTTGTTTTGTTCTGTTTTGTTGTTGTTGTTCTTCTTTTTTTGTTTTGATTTTGTTTTTGGTAATATTTTTGAATCTGTCATATAAACAAATAATATATCAAAGATTGTCAATGAGCTAGCTAAGTGTCCAAATGTCATCATTTTAATTTAAAAAAAATGTAAATATTCTCCAGCAATTGCTTCCTAGGTTACAATGCTTACTTCTAAATCATCACAAGTTAAGATCACAGGTAGGACAAATTCCAATCACACTGTATGTACCTTCAAACATATCAGGGGCAAAATAAAATCTGAAAAAAGAAATATGTATAATACAAAAATGGGTGATATAACAGGATTGGATGGATTCCAAATGGATAATGGTAACCTTCTTGGGAGTTCAAGGTAGTAGATACATGGAGTTGTCTTCTAGCAGATGAAGTAAAGCTAACACGGTAAAGGAATTAAAGAATGCTTGATATCTTTGCAAAGTTATCCTGAATAATATGGAGCTAAAATAAATACAGTGTTTAAAAATGTGCCATCTATGGCCTTGTTTCAATAAGCTTTCAAATGGATCAGTACTCTTAAAAAAAAACTTTCCAAAGATTTGTATACAATAATTCCCATGGGCTTTAATTGTGACTTCTGTAGGTAAATCATCTGGAATGTTTTTCAAATAGTGTTGAATTATTTTAGAAGCTTATTAAATTTAGGCCATTATTGGCCTCACCGGTTCTCAAATAAATCTAGAAGAGTCTCCAAGCATTCCAATGTTTATGGACTGCTCAAATTGTGCTGAAATAGCTACATACATAATATCGATAAAAAATCATTGATATTTTTTTAGGATTCCTTAATGAATAATATTAAAGCTATTTAATTAAGGTCATTGTATTCTTTATTGCACGCTAACACTGTCCATAAAGACTGGGAAATAGCCCCTGTGACCCCTTTTAATTAAGGTTTTCTCCTCTGTGGCCATCAGTCTGTAGAAGGCTATACCATTATATCCAACATTCACCAAAATTCACCATTCAAGTATTTAAACCTACATCAAAACAGAATGTTAAAATCACTTAACATGCACTACTGTAATCTGTATGATTTCTATGCCCACTCGGATTACAATCTTGTAAGATTGTAAAGCCTATTATAATACTATTCTAATTAATCTATATGTGACATCTTATTATAATGTTTGTATGACTACTGTATGTATTGTTCATACCTCATACCAATATTTAAAGGTGAACAAATACCTCCCCAAATTTTAATATCCTGTTTGCTTATCCTGTATAAAAAGGACATTTGTTTTTCTGAGGTCTAAAAATACAATTAAATGTAGAAATCTACACATCAATGTTGAAACTGGGCACCTCCATGTTGGCTGCCTGTAAACCGCTGTTATAAATATTATCTTTTTCTGCCCTTGAACATTGTGATGTCACTTGCTAAATCATCAATATACATTTTTTTTTTTTAAATGGCCCATTACAATAAAAAAAGTCAACACAATTTATAGGTGACTTATCATGTTTTATTCAATAGTGAGGTAACGAAAGAAGTGACAGTTACACTTAAATAAAAATGAATTACATTACAAATCTGGCTATTACTTGTTCACATGGTACATAAAATCCCTTCTCATTCAAACATAATTTGCCATTTCAGTGGAATCTGTAGAATCATTCCGGTTTAAAGAGCATCTTCTGATATAAATAAATATGGAACAGACCCCATACTGTATCTGACTCTATCTTCTTGTTTCAGTGGATGTATATAAATAATACAAAGGCATTGTATACATTAGTTTTTGATGCAGCTCAGTGTTCTAACTTTTTTCATAACTGGCCTCCATTAAAGGGAAATCAGGTTACATAACTGTCTGCGACTTAAAATGTTCGAAATGATTGACCTCTTATTTGTGAGGACGATTTTATATATTTTTTTTTTTACATTTTATTCTTGCAGTAACATTATTACAGGCAGGTAAAGACATGACATCCGAAAGCATGACAATAGTGTCAACAAGTTTATGTGATACATGTGAAGAGTTTTGCACCGGTGTACATTTTAAAAATGCCCCACCAATCAGCTGAAATACACAAAAAGAAAAAACAAGTAAAGCAACAGGAGCTGGAAAGGGCAGTATTAGAAAATGCCTAGAATCCCTCAAGAAAGCATAGCCTTCATGTTATACAGAGAGTCCCAGTGTAGCTGCGCTCTGGCCCCACCAACCTATTCCTTTCCAGTGACTCAGCATCAAAAAAGGAGACACAGATTACAGCATGAAGGTTGCCACATGTCCATGGCCCAGGTGAGTTGCGGTGGAACATCGGTATGTGTAAAATCTGGCATTCCGCATTGGAGAGCTGGGGACCCACCGTTAGGGAAGCCTTATGTTCTAGCTTTGGCCAGAATCTTGGGAAGATGTCATCAAAGGCACTGAGCATGGAGTCCACCTGTAAAAGTTGCAGGCCCCTCTCGAGAAGCTAAAAGCAGCCATCTTGGATCCGCTCGTAGCACTTAGCAGGCCAGCTGAGCAGCATGTTGTAGCAGCTGGTGAAGTTGCTCCAGGGGGGACCAGGATAACCCCCACCGGTCCAGAAGGGGGGGAAAGCGTGACTCTTGATGGAGAGACAAGCCAGTTTAGGAAGCAGGTGGAGTGGCCGCCTCACCTATGCCTTGATCACAGGTAGACCTTTAAAGGATTAGGCAGGAGCCGCGCGCGCATTCAGCCAGTCCATAGGAAAGCATTCACAATGCTTTCCTATGGACGCTGACGTCTTCTCATTGTGATTTTCACAGTGAGAAGCACGCAAACGCCTCTATCGGCTGTCAATGAGACATCCACTAGAGGCTGGATTAACCCTAATATAAACATAGAAAAAAGGGTTAACCCTAGATGGACCAGGCACCCAGACCACCTCATTAAGCTGAAGTGGTCTGGGTGCCTATAGTGGTCCTTTAAGAGTGCACTTAGAAAAAAAAGTGCTGCTTGAGTGGCATAAGCCTGTGCACCAGGGTGTCCCAAGACTATCTGAGTGTCAATTTGGTTAGTTCACATTTAAAACACTTTTTTTGGTTCATTTTGTTGTACTGGATGTACTGTTCCTATTTCCCTTCGAGTTTGTGAAAAAGTCAGTGGTGGGTTGTCAATGTACATAAGTGGAAAGTGTCTAAATAGAAAATTAGGTGGAAAATGTAGGAGGAGAAGGAAACAATTGTTTCTTTATAGTAAAAAAAAGTTATGAGGGTATAGATTTTGTAAGAATATGAAGGTATATGGATAATGTTAGGCCTTAAAATTTTGAAAAAGAGATAGAAAGTAATAAAGAGAAATATGACACCTGATAAAGACAACATGGTATATTTTTGTATTAAATATTGGCAGAGACGGAGAAATGCCATCATTTTTGATCATGCGCATATTGGAAACTTAATGGTATTTTTAGGAATGCTTTTTTTAATAAATGTAATCACTTCCTGATGCAGCGTTAATGAAGCACACACTATTACTAGCAGTTATCAATTGTCAGTTTAAACTACAATTGGTTATAAAGTTATATATCATGATAATATACACTGCCTGGCCCAATAAAAAGTTGCCACCTGGATTTAACTAAGCAAATAGGTAAGAGCTTCCTATTGGATAGTTACTGCATGGGCGATTATCTTTCAGATGGCAACAATTTACTTAATCCCAACTGATACAATGAGTAGCTTCTGATTTCTTACAAAATCATGTCGAAAGACACATCTCGTGGTCGTGGAAAAGATATTAGTCTGTTTGAGAAGGGTCAAATCATTGGCATGCATCAAGCAGAGAAAGCATCTAAGGAGATTGCAGAAACTACTAAAATTGGGTTAAGAACTGTCCAACATTGGACTTAAAAACTGGAAGGATAGTGGGGAACCACCAGTGATGGGCGCATCAGGATAAGAAGAGAAGCAGATGAAGTGATGCACCCATCATGCCTAGTGCCTACTGTACAAGCCTGTGGGGGCAGTGCTATAATCTGGGGTTGCTGCAGTTGGTCAGGTCTAGGTTCAACAACATTATGTGCCCAAATAATGAGGTCAGGTGACTACCTGAAAATACTGAATGACCAGGTTATTCCATCAATGGATGCATGGCATCCATTGATGCACGGGCATATTCCAAGATGACAATGCCAGGATTCATCGGGCTCAAATTGTGAAACAGTAGTTCAGGGAGCATGAGGCATCATTTTCACACATGGATTGATCACCAAGGAGTCCAGACCTTAACCCCATTGAGAATCTTTGGGATGTGCTGGAGGAGGCTTTGTGCAGTGGTCCGACTCTCCCATCATCAATACAAGATCTTGGTGAAAAATTAATGCAACACTGGATGGAAATAAATCTTGTGACATTGCAGAAGCTTATTGAAACAATGCCACAGTGAATGCGTGCCGTAATCAAAGTTAAATGCGGTCCAACAAAATATTAGAGTGTATGACCTTTTTTTTGGTGGCAACTTTTTTTTTGGCCAGGCAGTGTACATACAGCAGCAGTATTTGATCCCCTGCTGATTTTGAACATTTGCCCACTGACAAAGAAATGATCAGTCTATAATTTTAATGGTAGGTGTATTTTAACAGTGAGAGACAGAAGAACAAAAAAGAAATCCAGAAAAATGCATGTCAACAAAGTTATAAATTGATTTGCATGTCAATGAGTAAAATAAGTATTTGACCACTTTGACTTAGTACTTGGTGGCAAAACCCCTTGTTGGCAATCACAGAGGTCAGACGTTTCTTGTAGTTGGCCACCAGGTTTGGACACATCTCAGGAGGGATTTTGTCCCACTCCTCTTTGCAGATCCTCTCCAAGTCATTAAATTCAAGGCTGGTGTCTGGCAACTCAAACCTTCATCCACAGATTTTCTATGGGATTAAGGTCTGGAGACTGGCTAGGCCACTCCAGGATCTTAATGTGCTTCTTCTTGAGCCACTTCTTTGTTGCCTTGGCTGTGTGTTTTGGGTCCTTGTCATGCTGAGGGAAGGTGATTCTCCCCCAAGGAGACGGTACATGCAGAAAAACACCCCCAAAGCATAATGTTTCCACCTCCATGTTTGACAGTGGGGATGGTGTTTTTGGGGTCATAGGCAGCATTCCTCATTCTCCAAACATGGTGAGTTGAGTTGATGCCAAAGAGCTCAATTTTGGTCTCATCTGACCACAACACTTTCACCCAATCATTTAGATGTTCATTGGCAAACATCAGATGGACCTGTACATGTGCTTTCTTGAGCAGAGGGACCTTGCGGGCGCTGCAGGATTTCAGCCCCTCACTGTGTAGTGTGTTAGCAATTGTTTTCTTGGTGACTCTGGTCCCAACTGCCTTGAGATCATTAACAAGATCCTCCTGTGTAGATATAGGCTGATTCCTCACCGTTCTCATGATCATTGAAACTCCACAAGGCGAGATCTTGCATGGAGCACCAGACCGAGGGAGACTGACAGTTATTTTGTGTTTCTTCCCTTTGCTAATAATCGCACCAACTGTTGTCACCTTCTCACCAAGCTGCTTGGCGAGAGTCTTGTAGCCCATTCCAGCCTTTTACATGTCTACAACCTTGTCCCTGACATCCTTGGACAGCTCTTTGATCTTGGCCATGGTGGAGAGTTTGAAATCTGATTGATTGCTTCTGTGGAGAGGTGTCTTTTATACAGGTAACGAGCTGAGATTAGGAGCACTCCCTTTAAGGGCCAGAAATCTAGGTGATTGATAGGGGATCAAATACTTATTTCCCTCATTGACATGCAAATTAATTAATAACTTTTTTGACATGCATTTTCTGGATTTTTTGTTTTTGTTTTGTTGTTATTCTGTCTCTCACTGTTAAAATACACCTACCATTAAAATTATAGACAGATCATTGCTTTGTCAATGGGCAAACGTTCAAAATCAGCAGGGAATAATATACTTTTTTCCCTTGAGTCAAGAGACGAGTCGACGGCACTTTTTGGACGGTATGCACTAATGTGCATTTGTTTTTAGTTCACTTTGCTCTGTGGTTAGGACCTTTGGCTACCTTTTTACTTTAAGGAAAAGGGATTGTTAGCGATACTGGGGACTGCCTCGAAGCAGCAGGGGGTTAGCATATTATTATTAGGAGTATAGTATCTGCCTTCAGAATTTAGAGGCAGCTTATTCTTCATAATTATGTGAACTACAATTCAATGTTGCCTTTGTTCTAAACTCTAATCCTAACTCATTTACCACTCGCTGCTTTATATTTAAATACCTGAGACACTGCCTTGAAGCAGTAGGGGGGTAGGATATTATTATTAGGGGTATAGAGTTTATCTTTAGAATATAGAGGCAGGGAGTACTTCACACCTGTATTAACTACACTTTAATGTTGCCTTTTTCTAAACTTTAATTCTTACTCCTATACTACTCCCTGTATTGTACTGTATTATGCTACCTTCTAGCAATCTGTATACCCAGTTAATTGACCCTTCTTGCAATCTAATGGGAGTTCTAAGTGGTATTTCTAATTTCACTGATTGAGCTTGGTTACATAACATCATATTTTTGTAACATCTAATCAATCATACTTGGTGGCTACTACTTGGATACAGTGTATCTGTCTCATTCTCCTATAGAAGGTTTCGCTAAAAGAGGAGATTTATTCATATCTCTCCTTCCTCCTTTTGTTCCTTGTTTACTTCCAATATAGGAATACTTTTAGTAATTATAATACAGCTACACTCTATATATCTCTCTAAATCATATCTCTTAATCCAATAGGAATAGTCTAACCACAGTAGCTTTTTCACGCAATCACGTTTGTAGAGCACACTATTTTTGGTGGGTTGTTTATATAGGTTTTATTTCAATTAATACAGTTTGCATTTTATCTTGATATAGTGGCTTCAATTAATGGTTTCTCTTGGGAAATTACCACTTTGTTGGGTCTTTCTCAAACTTTCTTTATTTATTGTCTGTTGAGATGACTTAAGTAACCAATTTAGGAGACACCTACATATAATTTATGTGTAGGAATCTCCTCTATTTTTAATAGTGGGAGGTGGTCGTTCCCCTTTAAATGTAGTTTTGAAATAAAAATTGAAAACAAAAGAGCAAGCGTAGAGCCAAAATATTAGGTACACTGAGAGAACGGGGGTAACCCCAAATGTAATGTAAGAGAGCAAAGGTAGTGTGCCTAGGGAGTATAGATAGTGCACTCTAAATTCAAGTGTCTAAATATATAAGGAGAACTGACAGACAAAGCGCTTGACTAGTACAATTAAAGAAAAATAAATACATTTTATGATAAGTAAATATGATACAGGAAAAAAAACAAACGTGCTGCTGTACAAAAGTTGAACCTAAAATAGGTGCTAAAACTGTTACCCTAATACGAGTAACCTAGTGGTATACAAACAGATAATCACTCACACTAACAGATAGTACGATGGCACTCAGGTATGGAATCTGCTAATGAGAATTTAAAAGAAGCATAATAGTATCGAACGCCAGCCAGGTTATCATCTCATAGTATCTCTGCTGTTGGTAAGTGCCACAATCTGGGGTACCTAATGAAAGTACAACTGTAGAGTTTAAAGAGATCGCTATTAGTCCTAGAGGTACTTGCAGAGGGTATCGCTATATGCAGAAAAGAATGCAAGCAGCTCGGGTTAATATTAAGAAGGAGTGCAGGCTAAAAAAATTCTATATAAGTAGCAGCCTGTTAACTCCTCTCAAACCTGCCATGCACTCTGAGAAACTCTCGAGACACTAGGAAACTAGTTTTGAAATAAGTCAAAATTAATATAATTCTAATTCATCTATTACTTTTGAGTTACAAGGATAGCAGTGCAATATTGACAAGCGAAATGTAATTTTGCTGCCATTTTCCAAATTAGGATTTTATTTACGGTGTTATTTATCAAGTATGTATTGTCGAGAATTCAGAGTGAATTTCAAATTTCATGTCAATATAGTCTAAGTGAAGGCATAGTTGACTTGCAGAATTTTTACAGTTTAGCTCTGGCATTAAACTCACTTTAAATTCTCACCTTAGTAAATCACTATGTAATTGCAAGGGGTGACAGTGTAAGACTATAAATGAGTCTTTTTTGCAGATACAACTTTTTTATGTAATTGTGAATGCTGTCTGCAAGGGAGGGGGGTATTACAGCTGGTGGGCTGTTTCTAGTTGCCTGGGTTGACATAAAAGTCAGACCGCAGCCAGTTGGATCTCCCAGGGTGCCTACTACTTGGAAAACTACGAACTGGAAACTTGTTTTAGAAAGACGCCTTTGCCAGAAATGGGAGAGGCAGCATTCTCATCTACAATTCACATACTGTGGGTTTACTTTAAAAAAAAAAAAAAAACATTTGTATAAATTCAATGTATGGTCAACAGATGTATGCCACTTATTGCAACATTCTTAAAATGACTTGTGCTTACATAAATTATGAGAACTTCGTTTTTCTTTTCTTCGTTTTTTGTTTTTTTTAAAAAGATGACTGAGGTCAGTTTTATGACCTGTTTATTACCAGTAGTACTTATTATATCACAGATCCAATCTTTCCAGTGCTGTGTTCTGTTTTGAGTCATAAAACCACTCCAGGAAAATTGTGCATCGGGACGAATTAAAGCTTGGACAACCTGCAGCACATCTCATAATGGGGTTTAATGAATCACCGGCCTGCATAGGTCTACCGTCTACATAATATAATTTATATGATCAAAGGTCATCACTCGACTGCGATTTAACCCTAAATGACTGCCAGTAAAGCTATATTTTAATATGTGCATACGGCTTTCTATTACTTGTGCAATAATATATAAATATATGCATGTGTGCATCTGAGTAAATATTTTAATATATGCATTGAATTCAATCAATTAATGAAAGCTTTACATTTAATACTGCTGTGTGAAATTGCATTGACCACTAGAATAAAACAGCTTATATTTTATATGTTTGTTTAAAACATTTTTTTTATTATTTTTTTAAAAAAATTGCAATCTCTGGGATGCCCATAAAACTACAGGGGGCTAAAGGAAAGTCAGGAAGTCCCCTTTCGTTGCCAATTTAAAAAGTCGGGAATAGAGAGCTGAATAAAAGAATTGAATAGTCCTCAAGGCCACCATTAAACTTAGTGACATTCACTTTAGTGCCCTCCGTATATGCGGTTGAAGGTGGTGGAGTAAAATGAATGGTAGTCTTCAAGACCCCTATGGAAACAGAGGATTTTGTCCCACAATTATTTATTTCAAGAACAATCTCTCTTCCCTACATTTATTACCCAACACTTAAAAACAGTTACAAGTCAAAACCAGGCAGATGTCCACAAGAAACTTCCAGGTATGTTTATAGAGCTTCTTTGCAGTTTGCCTGCCTGCAATGCTAGCCTGTAAACAACATATGCCTGATTTCAGCAGAGTATTTGTCATATTGAGGAATTCTGTTGACTAGCCTGTGTAAATCATGCTCTACTGACTTTATCAGTACAATTAAATAATCTAATGTTTAAACATCATGTTTCTCCACATTTAAGCATTCACAGACTTCAGCCAGCCATTATCCTGCCCACTGTTTTGGACAGAATACAACGGTAATTGCTACAGATTCTTCCCGATGAATAAAACTTGGGCCGAAGCAGACTTTTACTGTGCAGAGTTTTCGCTTGGCAGGACAACCGGAAAATTAGTTTCTATACACAGGTACGCTGCGTGTTGTTAAACCCTAAAGTTGCCGCCTCTTCTATGCTGCACGTCAGGTCCCTTCAATAATTTAAGGGACACTCTAAGTACCAAAACCACTTTAACTTCATGAAGTGGGATTGGTGTGTAGATCATGCCCATTTAGTCTCATTGATCAATTATCTGCCGTCTAGGACTTAAACCCATGGCCGTCCTTTGCGGTGTGCGAGCTGTCAGTTACTGACAGTGCGGCCCAAGTAATACAATGTATGTGTAGGTGCAAGTCAAGTAATGCAATGTATGTGTAGGTGAAAGTCAAGTTACCTGCAAATTATTAAAGCGGGTCTCAGCCGGCTCCATTATTTCATAGTGTGGAGGAGGACTGAAGCGCGAAGGAGGAGCAAGAGGGCGCGCAACGCTGCGTACTGACGCAGCATCGATGTGCCCCACCTCCGCCTTCATTGTGTTTATCACAGTCGCGGAAGGATCCACTCTGACTGTGACTGTGGGCCTCTGCTCTAAACGCGCTGGCAGCGCCGGAGTTGGACAGGAGGACACAGTCTGTCAGCTGGGTCCAGAAAGCAGCAGGCGCTTGGGTGCTGGAAATATTTGTTTAAATGTGAGTAGTGTCTTCTTCTTGTATTTTTTTATTTTTAAATAGATTGGGTGTTATCGAAGGGGGACTGGGGGTTTGTAAAAGGGGAGGGGGTAGTGGTTTGTAAAGAGAGGGGGGATTGTAAAAGCGTTGATAGGGGTTTGTAAAAGGGGGTTTGTTAAGGAAGGGGGTTGTAAAAGAGGGAGTGTTTTTAAAGGGGGCTAGAGGGGTCTGTCATCGGGAGCTTGTAAAAGAAGGGTGCAGGGGATTTTGGAACGGGGCTTGTAAAAGGGGGAGTGGGAACTTGTAAAAGGGGGAGTGGGAGCTTGAAAAGGAGAGGGCAGGTGTTTGTAACAGGGAGGGCAGGGGTTTGTAAAGCGGAAGGAAGGGATTTGTAAAGGGGAAGGAAGGGATTTGTAAGGGGGGGGCAGGGTTTTTTGCAAAAGGGGGGAGTTTTATTTTTAGAAGGGGGGGCAGAGGGTTTTGTAGATTGAGGCAGAGGGTTTTGTAGATAGAGGTGACAAGGGATTATACTTTTAAAGCGTTAGTGGCGCTATCACCATCTGGGGATTTTGCTGAAGACCCCCGACGGTTACCTCGCTGTTGGGAGTCTGGTGGCTTGGTAGGGGTAGTTAAGGTGAGATTTAGTTAGCTGTATCTGTCCCTCGGAGGTGCATCGGAGGGGGGGGGGCTGGGGAGGGGAGCATGGGTACACCTAAGGGCCTGAACACCTAAGGCCAGCCCTGCTTAAACCAAATAGTTTATCAAGTTCTAGCCATACCTGCTTTGACTCACACAGTCTTTGACTCGCACAGCCTCTGTACACACTTCCTGAAAATAAGTATTATAACTTCCATTATTGCACAGTGTGTTTATATTAGAATTTCTTGTCTCCTGCTCTGATATTGGTCTGCTAGAACCTGATACAGCCTCATGTGTGTAGTTAAAGTTTACGTAACAGAGCAGGAGAAATAAGCTTCTAAAGTAAATACACTGTGCTGTAAAAATTAAATCTTTTTTTCATGGAGGCTGTGTGAGTCACAGCCAGGGGAGGTGTGGCTACGCTATGGATAAACTAAGTGATTTAACTCCCAAATGGCAGAGAATCGAGCAGTGAGACTGATCTGTACACCATAACTGCTTTATTAAGTTAAAGTTGTTCTGGTACTTAACGTGTCCCTTTAACTATAGTGTTATGTTTTCTTATTCCTACATTTTGTAGCACTAGAAAAGCACAGTGTGGAACAGATTTGTACCTGTAGCTGAAAGGTTTAAGTGACAAGCTCAGCCAATTAAAGGAAAGCAGCAATGTTAAAAATAAACAACTTTATTTTTAATCTAGAGTATTCCTTAAAATGAAACTGTCACTTCCCCACTTTTAGTACAAACATATAGCTACTAAAGTTAACTATTGGTTGTACTGAAAAAAATTAAATACAAATCCTTTTCTTTGGTAATATTTTAATTAACCTGCACATGTAAAGTGCTGCTACAGAGAATTCCGCACACTCATGTACACATGCAGAATTTCCTTGAGAGCAAACCTAAGCTCGCTAGGCTTCATAGAGCCAGAAAGCCCCAGAAACGTGGAAGTGCTGTGAGGTTTTTTTGTTTTTTTACCAACCCCTGCTAGTCTCTTCACCCCTGTAAGAGCTGAAATAGCATTTACTGTGTTAAAGGAGCGTGTAACTGTCACTTCCCGTATAGAGCTTCTAATTAAAGGTCTTTAATGATTGAGTGCCTCTAGTCAGGGCCGGACTGGGGATACAAAGCAGCCCTGGAAAATAAATCTATGCCAGCCCCAAAAGTCATTGCGCCATATATTGTCGCATGTAATATGTAAGGCAATGTCTTGCCAGCACAGATGATTGAGTAATATATATATAATTGCTTTTTCTCACATAAAATATTGGTCCTTTCAGAGTAAAACGTTTAATTATACAGTAAGCATACTCACATGCAGACACAGACAATCTCACTGACACACACAAGCTCAGTGATACACAGCCTCATAGACAAACAAACAATCTCACTGATATACATAAGCTCATTGACATAAAACACACACACACACACACACACATGCAAGCAAGCTCACTCAAAAGCAGGCGCACACACACACACAGCTTAATGTAGTGGTTCTGGTGTCTATAGCCTGTCCCTGCAGGCTTTTCAATGTAAACACTGACTTTTCATAGAAAAGGCAGTGTTTACAATGCTTTCTAGTGACACCTCTAGTGACAGACACTCAGACAGTCACTAGAGGTGCTTCCTGTGTCAGTGCGGATTGGCTGAGATCATTAAGATTGATGATCTCGGCCATAGAGGCAGGGCCAGTCGAGGAGAGACCAGCACGACGTGGGAAAAAAAGTGAGTATAAAACTATATTTTTAAAAACAGACGCAGACACACACATATACCATGACAGACACACACCATGACACACACACATATACCTTGACAGACACACATATACCATGACAGACACACATATACCATGACACAGACACACACATCATGACAGACACAGACAGACCATGACACAGACACATACATTCACACCATGATAGACACACACACACCATGACACAGACACACACACACACACACACCATGAAATACACACACACACCTTGACACACATACCATGACAGACGTACACACACCATGACACAGACAGACACCCACAGATACACTCCTACTGACAGACTGATACACATAATTGTTGCTACCTGTGGGCAGACAGATGGGTGTGCTGGAGGCCGCAGGGAAGCAGAGACAGAACAGCCAGCTCCCCCTGCGGCCGCCATCAGAGCTCTCCCTGCGACCGCCAGCAAACCCATCTGTCTGCCCAGCCCCAGGTGCCGACGGCCCACCGGGAAATTTCCCGGTATCCCGGGTGGGCCAGTCTGGCCCTGCCTCTAGTGATTGTCAGGGTGACACCATTAGTAAATGATCTCTGCCAAATACCATGCTTTACATTGTCAGATAAAAAGGGGCAGTATTTATGCACCAAAGCCACTATATTAAGATGTATGTCCACCTTTAAATGTGTAACCTTCCATCCATCAGGTCTCTGTAAATGCTCCATTTTTATGACATTGACTCTATTTGATTTTATTGTAACTCGTTTGACATATTTTTTTTTTTGTCTGTCTTTCTTCAATTTAGCTGGGATGAAAATGTTTTTGTGTTTGACCTGGTAAATAGCCAAGTGTCAGGAGCACCCACCGATATTTGGATTGGATTAAGTGACAGGCGGCAGGTGAAGTCTTGCATGTTTCCATGTGCATTTGCCATATATATTTAATAACAGATGTAAAAAAAATTTTTTAACAGAGGTGGCTTTAGAATTGCATCATAATTTTGATATTCTATCCCCCGAACATTGAGTTCCATTGTGTCTTGAACACAGACGGGGGCAATTCTGATCTGAGGCACAGAAGACATTATTAGGTGTTTTTAAGGATGAGCAGAAAATCATTAAACCATCAGCTACAGTTATTTCTAAGAAAGAGATGAGCTTTTGTGCTTCCAGGATGGAGGAAATATAGTGTTAAAATTATATGATGGATGCAGAATTCTTATCATTTCCAGGGGAATTTCAGGTAAATATTAAATATATCAAATCAATTTAATATTAAACAAAGTGCAACTTCACATCCTTAAAAATACCAAATAATGATGCAACTAGTTTTCAAAGATAATCACTGGCCAGAGAATGTCATCCTGTAGCCCCATATAGCAAAAGCACAGCTTAGTGGAAAGGGGCCTTGGCAGGGGTTAGGAGGTTGGCATAGGAGGAAGAAAGTTGGGATTGGTGGCTTGTGGGAAGAGGTTTGGTTATACAAAAAGGCAGATATCTTGGAAGAGTCACTTTTAATTGACCAACCTGGCTGAGTTTGTCCCACCCTCCCTCCCTGGGTTTTGGTTTCCAGTTGGGTTGTCCTGTTTTGTCACAGCGGCGGGTTAGGGAGCTGAAGGAGAGCAAAAAGGCACCCCATTAGGAAGGTTATGGAAATGGTTAAATAAGGTTATTGATGTTTCGTAGGTTTCGAGTCCTGTCGGTGGCTCAGAACCTTGTGGGGTAGTGGTATCCAGGTATACCCCTACCATGGTTAATTTATATAAAAACAAAATGTTGGTACTTTAAGTTATGTTCATCTTGGAATAATGTTAAATATATAATGACCCCTAGTTTTTGAGCCCAAAATTAAGAAATTAATATTTTAAACATCAAATAAAACAACTTTGATATTTTAGAGGTGACTTCTGAGTGGAACTACACACTTTTAATTCTCATGCCTCCCCTGTGCTACGGTATTCTGTAAAGTTAATGGCTCTATAGTGCATGCTGAGAGACTACAGCTCCCACAATACAGCAGGTGGTGTGAGGGCATGCTGGGAGACTACAGCAGGTGGTGTGAGGGCATGCTGGGAGACTACAGCTCCTACAATACAGCAGGTGGTGTGAGGGCATGCTGGGAGACTATAGCTCCCACAATACAGCAGGTGGTGTGAGGGCATGCTGGGAGACTACAGCTCCTACAATACAGCAGGTGGTGTGAGGGCATGCTGGGAGACTATAGCTCCCACAATACAGCAGGTGGTGTGAGGACATGCTGGGACATCACAGTAGTATTCCCTCTGCTCCCTGATCCACATTTCCTCCCCCATAAATAGAAATCAGAGAGCAAGACCTACCTGGGGTGGAACATACCTCCTTTTATGGTGCGGCATGACTCTGTAGCTCTGTTGGTGGTAAGTGCTGATGTCTGCTGCAGCTCCCTCGCATATAGGGACCTCTTCCTCCTTGTCACAGCATTCAGAAGTGGATCGGCGAGGAGGAGGCCAGGTATATGTGTGTGGGCCGTAGCACACGGAAACACAGCAGGCGCCATCTTAAATTAGTCCCTGTTTTTTTTTTTAACCCCTGCAGTGACATTCCATGTATAAGATGACCCCCAATTTTAAACTAGAAAAAATTAGAAAAAAACATGGTCTTATACATGTAAAAATATGGTAATTAGTTTTGCAATATAATGCAGCCTTTCTGCTTTGCCCTTTGCATCCAACAGTGTTTCTTTTTTTATCTTCTATACATCATGTCATGGAGTTTCTAGGTGTTATGTTAAACTTCCCTGACATGAATCTGACATTCGTCCACAGAGCACTGCTCATTAGATAAGCTCAGCAATGTTAAAGAAAGTATAGTAAGCATCAGTCACTCCCTGGTTTGGTGAGAGCTTATTACAAATCCTATTCAGCACAGACACACACAGATAAGCTCGGCAGTGTTAAAGAAAGTATACTAAGCTTTAGTCACTTTGGTGAGGGTTTATTACAAATCCTACAAAGCTTGGACATTTAGATAAATTATTGCATATTTAAATGTAAATATATATTTTTATTAAAAGTTGTATTCTTTTTAAATTGTTTGTTTGTTTTTTATATCGTGAAATGTACTCTCTATGTAATGTATTAAAAGGGACATACAGACTAGAGTGTTTCAGTAAATGCATTAACAAAATCGCTGGATGCTAGAACAGGACCACAAATAAAGACCACATCGTCCATGGTAACTAAAGTAAATTGAATGAAATACATTTAAAATGAACTAATGCAACTTTTGTAGACAGGTTTCTATGATCCGTACATAGATGTAAACTGATCTAAGGTGTCAAGTGGATATTTTGACTGGTAAATTGCATTGTACCATCGTGATTATCACCTAATGTTGGCTGTTCTTAGAAAAGGTCCATAAATTGACGTCAAACGTTATTCAAACTTCAATATTCACCACCTCAATGAACACCATCAGGGTTGAAATGAGTACCCATGTGTGATAATATCAATATATACACAAGATATACTTAAAAACTAAAGAAAATTTCAATGTGTCCTTCTAGAAAAAATTATATATGCGTCATTAAATTATTTTTAATAATTAAAGTTCGGTTTTCCTAATAGAACACAACTCGTTTCTTAGAAATCATAAAATAGAGCAAACTTTCTTTGTATTTTCGTTGCTTCAATACATTGGTTTAAGGATCCAGAATTTTAACAAATAATCTTTTTTCATGTGGCTGGACTCAACAAGTGCATTTTGAAGACCAGATATGACCAGAATTTATTAATGATAGTTATATTGATAATTTATATTTGTCAGTGCTACAGGTTTAATTTAATTCATTAATGCCTGCATTGATGTTTGGGTCATTAGGCATCCTGTGATAAGGTTCCTCACATGACCAAAGGTATATTATTATTTCAACTGGTGCTAGTAAGTTGGTCAGCTATGCTTATGTGAGAAGATTCTAAACCAACACCAACACTGTCTGGATACGTATGTGCTCATGCTTAAAACTTTGATAGAAGCAAAGAGAAGAGTGACTGTAATTAAGGTTTCAATGCAGTTGAAGTGCTTCAGAGCTGCATTTTGTCATGTTTATTAGCGCAATGTCAGGCATTTTCTTTTCTCTAAGGTTTTGCTTTTTACTGACAGGAAGGTGAGTTCGAATGGACAGATGGGACACATCACGACTACAATTACTGGGATGGAAATCAGCCAGATGACGGAAGCAACAGTAAGCCTGAGGATGAAGACTGCGTCCAGATGTGGTACAGATATTATAGTGGTAAGTACAACATTTGAATATTACCTCATTGATAAGGGAAAAAATGCACCATGGCTATATGGTAGGCACTAGTAGGCACACACTCACTCACTAGCAGGCACGCACACACAAGCTCACTCACTAGCAGGCACACACACTCTCACTCACTAACAGGCACACACACATACACACAGACTCACTAGCAGGCACACACACACACACAAGCTCACTCACTAGCAGGCACACACACAAGCTCACTCACTAGCAGGCACATACACATGCTGACTCACTAGCAGGCGCACACACATACACACAAGCTCACTCAATAGCAGGCACACATACACACAGACTCACTCACTAGCAGGCACACACACACACAAGCTCACTCACTAGCAGACACACACACAAACACACACACAGACACACAGACAAGCTCATTTACTAGAAGGCACATACATACACACACACACACAGACAGGCTCACTCACTAGCAGACACACACACACACACACATACAGACTCACTCAGTAGCAGGCACACACAAAGACAAACTCATCCACTAGCAGGCACACACACAGACTCACTCACTAGCAGACACACACAAACTCACTCACTATCAGGTACACGCACACAGACAAGTTCACTCACTAGCAGGCACACACACACACACACAAGCTCACTCACTAGCAGACACACACACAAGCTCACTCACTAGCAGGCACACACACACGCTCACTCACTAGCAGGTGCACACACATGCACAAGCTTACTCACTAGCAGGCACACACACACACACACACACAAGCCTATCACAGACTCACTCACTAGCACACACACACACACACAAGCTCATTCACTAGCAGGCACACAAACACACACAGACAAGCTCACTCACACACACACACATGCTCACTACGGACAAGCTCACTGAAACACACATACAAGCTCACTCACTAACAGCCACACACACACACACACACAAGTCCACTCACTAGTAGGCACACACACACACACACTAGTAGGCACACACACACTCACTAGCAGGCACGCACACACAAGCTCACTCACTAGCAGGCACACACACTCTCACTCACTAACAGGCACACACACATACACACAGACTCACTAGCAGGCACACACACACACACAAGCTCACTCACTAGCAGGCACACACACAAGCTCACTCACTAGCAGGCACATACACATGCTGACTCACTAGCAGGCGCACACACATACACACAAGCTCACTCAATAGCAGGCACACATACACACAGACTCACTCACTAGCAGGCACACACACACACAAGCTCACTCACTAGCAGACACACACACAAACACACACACAGACACACAGACAAGCTCATTTACTAGAAGGCACATACATACACACACACACACAGACAGGCTCACTCACTAGCAGACACACACACACACACACATACAGACTCACTCAGTAGCAGGCACACACAAAGACAAACTCATCCACTAGCAGGCACACACACAGACTCACTCACTAGCAGACACACACAAACTCACTCACTATCAGGTACACGCACACAGACAAGTTCACTCACTAGCAGGCACACACACACACACACAAGCTCACTCACTAGCAGACACACACACAAGCTCACTCACTAGCAGGCACACACACACGCTCACTCACTAGCAGGTGCACACACATGCACAAGCTTACTCACTAGCAGGCACACACACACACACACACACAAGCCTATCACAGACTCACTCACTAGCACACACACACACACACAAGCTCATTCACTAGCAGGCACACAAACACACACAGACAAGCTCACTCACTAGCAGGCACACACACACACACACACACAAGTCCACTCACTAGTAGGCACACACACACACACACACACACACAGAAGCTCACTCACTAGCAGGCACACACACACACACACACACAAAAGCTCACTAGCAGGCACACACACACACACACACACACACACACAAACAAACACAGACTCACTCACTATCAGATACAGGCACACAAACAAGCTCACTCACTATCAGGCACAAATACACACAGACAAGCTCACTCAATAGCAGACACACACACACACAATCACTGTCAAGGCTGAAGCTTACCAGGCACTGGTGGGTGAAGTTGCCATTTTGTGACTTCTTTCTTCTAGTAAGGTCAGCAACATGTGTGGGGGCAGGGCCTGTGTACAGGAGGTGGGGCTATGTTCAGGAGGCGTGGCCTGCGTGCGGAGGCAGAGCAGCCTAATTGCGGCCTCACCAGCCCCCAGCTCCTCCCTCATTACACCCCTCGGACTGACAGAGGCTGGCACAGTCCGAGGGGAAAATCATTTAAATTACTTTGCATGATGATTAGGGCTGTCTGCCCGGCCCCAGGTGCTGTGGCCCACCGGGAAATTTTCTGGTATCCCAGTGGGCCAGACCGGCCCTGATCAGACCCAACACGCAGAACTTAGGTCACTCCTCGATATGGTATAATATAGAAATGGACAAGTGTGACTTAGAAAATGACACAAGTTTGGAGAAACTATCATCTAATTATTTCACTTGGATTGCACATTATTGTGGTCTGCGTCAAAAATATCACATCATACAGTAAGGTGCATGAGCTGAAAAGTTGAAGGTCCCTACACAAATGTCCACATTTTTCATTCAACATTTATAGTGCAATCATCTCAGCAATGTAATCTGTCAATGCTGTCACCTTCAGCCACATTCCAGAACGATGTAAAAAAAAAAGTGCTCTGATGTTAAATAGGCATCGATTGAATATTCTTGGATCATCTTTTCAAACTATTTAATATTTTTGGAGAAACTTTTAAAATAAACAATGGAAAATATTTTAATATTTTCAGATATTTGTATTTTGTTTTATAGATTATATTTTTTTTTGTATTTTAATGTTTTCAAAAATTATTTGGAAAGTTTATCCAAGAATATTAAATCTTTTGGAAAGTTTATCCAAGAATATTAAATTGAGGCCATAGATAGGTTTTTATATTAGCTGTGCTGAGGGCATCAAATCTTCCTAAGTTGAATATTACCTGTGAATCTCACTGTGCAATGGAAGACATCAGACTTGTCCATATACTGGTCTTCTCAAATCCCAAGTAAACATTTTAAATTGTGAAGCTCACCAATATCACCCATATCTATTTCTTCTTATTATTTTATTCCCATCCATTGGCTGAATTGGAGCTTCATAAGCCTCTACCTGAAAGTTTGATAGGCGTAATGAGAGCATTTGAATTTATATATCAATTGTTATGCCAGCTATTATGAATTATGTATGACACATAGCAAACCTAACAGTGGTCCACTTAGACTATGAATTCTTCCTCCTGTCCTATAAAAAAGTGAAATATCTGGCTTTTAAGCTGCATTGATGCTGCCCTGGGCCTATTTCAAAGCATGGATCTGTAGCACCTGCTCCGATAGCCCCTATCCTAATCTGGCCCTGTCTCCATCTCTAACCAAGAATGTTTAGCAGAGTTTAAGAAAAATAATAAAGTATATTGTTTTATTGCAATCAGAGCAATACTTTCTCAGAGCTAAGATGAATTTTGAATGCTCATGTTATTGGCTTATTACATAGGTATTCAAACTGAAACATCAGTAGATCTTAACCTGAAATGCCACTCTTTAACAGAGTCAAAAATGGGTCGCAAAGGGCAGGCTATTTCAGCTGCTGCCCGTCCTCAGTATTCTCTTGCGACCCATTTTTGACTTGCCACTCTTTAACACTTTACTAACTAATTCGACTCAAGTTAGAGATTTGTACATTACTTGCCATAATTACACATTGTTTAGTCATACCTGATTGAGCAGTGATTTTTGGGTGTTTCACTTAACTTTAATCAAGGTGGTCTCATGTAGGATATTGTGAATGGACATCAGGATATGGATGTCACTTAATGCAAGTTTAGTGAATAAACCCTAGGAAAAAGAGATTCAGTTTTCTAAATGTTTTTTATGGTATATGAAGTGGTGATTAAACTTTTCCATTATCTTAACAACATCCTCCTTACACCTCCTTGTCTAATTATTATTTGGTGCATTATAACAGCAGAGTACAATGAGGGATCTGTGTGCAAGCATTTTTTCATCTGTGTGTATAAAATAAAATAAAATAGATATATGGACAGAAGCAGGTGTGACACAAATGAGCGTGAGTCGGGAATACAGTGTATGTAAAAAAATATCACTTATCTTAAAGTGAGTGACATGAGTTGAAAACTGACTTAAAATTGGGATGGCCTCTACACAACAGTCCAACTTTTCATCCAGCATATATAGTGCCATCCCTTCTTTCATCTCAGCATTGTCATCTGTTCTATGCTGCCGTCTTTGGCCAGAATACAGAAAGGTTCTTTGCGAAAAGTGCTCTGATCTCATAAAGTCCTGGGTTTAATATTTTCTGGATAAGCTTTGCAAACAAGTTAATATTTTTAGCTAAACTTTCAAAACGAATAAAGAAAAATTTAATGTTTTAAAAAATAGTTTAATATTTTGCCATCATATCTCTCCCCGTGGGCAGGAAGTAATATTAGTATGTCACATGAACAGCACTCCAAGTGTCCCTCTTTAGGATAGTCACTGTTTGGGAGAAACAATATGTCTCTTTGGTAGGAGTTTAAAATATATAAAGATTAAAGGACCACTCTAGGCACCCAGACCACTTCAGCTTAATGAAGTGGTCTGGGTGCCAGGTCCAGCTAGGGTTAACCCATTTTTTCATAATTATAGCAGTTTCAGAGAAACTGCTATAATTATGAATGGGTTAAGCCTTCCCCCTAATCCTCTAGTGGCTGTCTCATTGACAGCCACTAGAGGCGCTTGCGTGCTTCTCACTGTGATTTTCACAGTGAGAGCACGCAAGCGTCCATAGGAAAGCATTGAAAATGCTTTCCTATGCGACGGGCTGAATGCGCGCGCAGCTCTTGCCGCGCGTGCGCATTCAGCCGGCGGGGCGGAGAGAAGGAGGAGAGCTCTCCACCCAGCGCTGGAAAAAGGTAAGTTTAAACCCCTTTCCCCCTTCCAGAGCTGGGTGGGAGGGGGTCCCTGAGGGTGGGGGCACCCTCAGGGCACTATAGTGCCAGGAAAACGAGTTTGTTTTCCTGGCACTATAGTGGTCCTTTAACCAAACAGGGCTAACCTAATGACACAGATACACTGAAAATTAATATACAGTTCTGTGAAATTAAAAGAGAAATATTGCCAGAAACGGAAATTATTTTTTAATGAAGCTATGACCTCATTCTGTATATCTCATTTCTTAAATACGCCCTCTTCTTATGTATACAGCTGCCTGCCAGATGCCTTATATCTCTTCTCAACAGAACACACGCTGTTAATATTTCCAGTTTATCAATGCACATTCGACCTTACAGACTATATCATATATCTGGCTACATCTTTCCTAATTCAACGCTAATGTGGTCTTGAAATGTTCAAAATCTTCTCAGTATTACACGGGAATTTTTTTTTAAAACTATATTAACATTTAACCACATATTCAAATAAAAAATTTGAAGGGTTTATTTACCATTGACGGGAAATCAAAATGCATTTAAAGTAAATTTCAAATTTAAGGCCAAAGTATTCAAACTAGAAGCATAGGTGACCTGGATATTTTTCCAGTTTGGCTTCTTTGGCCTTAAATTTGAAATTCGCCTTGACTTCCCGGCTATTCTGACTTTACTAAATAACTCTATGAGATTATGAAGGGATGGCACTGACTTTCATGAGGCAACACTACTTTTTAAAAGAGCACTGGAATTCTTTTTATCCCAAACCTAATTACTGCTAATATCCACAATACTATGATATTTACATCTGTCTAGAGCAGGAGTAAGAATCCTTAAACACTCAAGGTGTTGTAGACTTCATCTACCTCAATGCTTTGCCAGTATTATGGCTGTAAGAGCATGATGGGACATGTAGTCCACAGAATAAGGAGTGCCAAAGGTTGCCTACCCTTGGTCTAGAGCAGGGGTTCTCAACCCTGTCCTCAAGGACCTCTTACCAGTCCAGGATTTAGGGATTACCTGGGTGTGTCTAAGGTGTTTTTTTTTGTTTTGTTTTTTCTAAACACCTTAGACACACCCAGATAATCCCTAAATCCTGGACTGGTAGGGGGTCCTTGAGGACTGGATTGAGAACCCCTGGTCTAGAGCAGTATTTGCCAACCCAGTCCTCATGGACCACCAACAATCTAGGTTTTGTCTGTATCTCCATTGGAATAAAACAGGGAAATGTTTAAATCCTGGACTGTTTGTGGTCCATGAGGATAACCCCTGGCACATTTACAGTCCAGTTATTCTTGGTCCTCTGAATACTGGATTTTATGCATGCAGGTTAACAATACTGAGGCCCTCTGCAGGGTCTAGCAAACGATTAACAGAGCAGGAGATTAAAAATTCTAAATTAAATAGAATTTGCAATAAAGAAAGCATAAACATTAGATGACTGTTTACAGGAAGTGTTTAAGAAGGCTGTGCAAGTCACATGCATGGGGGTGTGGCTAAAATTGTATAAACAACGTTATTTAATTGCAGAAAATTGAGCAGTGAGACTGCAGGGGCATGATCTTTTCACCAAAACTGCTTCATTAAGTTAAAGTTGTTTTGGTGACTATAGTTTCCCTTAAATAAAATATCTGCAGAACCAAAGAACACTGCCAATATGATCAGGATAACATGTATCCTAGAACATGATTTTAAAAAGGCCACTTCTATAGTTATGATTGTACCATTTCAGCAGTGAGCCTCCTAATTTGTGTTTCCAGTAGACATGCTCATGTGTTTTCGGATGTACTGCAAAAATGTAATTATTAATATTAAGGTAGAGCCCTCTCTGTACAGTTCATGTGCATTTTTTGCAAGGAGTAGCTGTTGGATCAACAGCAAAAATAGATGTGAGAAAGGTTAAACTTGATGGCCGCATGTTTTTTTTCAGCATATGTAACCAGAGTCGGCTCTACCATAAGGCGGCACAGGTGGCTGCCTTAGGGCCCACCAGCATGGGGGGCCCAGGATTCACGGGACCGGCAGAGGGGTAGCACACTGCAAAGCGCTCCGCTCATACCGGCCTCTGGGTAGTGTAGCATGGCCGAGCGGGGATAAGAGAAGAGGATCTTCTGTTTCCCTCTCCCCGGTATAAAAGGAAGCGCTCACTAAGAGCGTAGAACTGCTTTTCTGTTATACTGGGGAGAGGGAACCAGAAGCTCCTCTCCTCCGATCCATGCTCAGTCACGAAACATAAGAGGAGGGCGGTAAGCAGGCACTGGAGGAGGGGAGGAGGGAGGAGAGCACATGGGAAGGAAGGAAGGGAGCTGGCACATGTGGGAGAGGGAGGATAGCTGGCACATGGAGGGGAAAGGGAGGTGAGCTGACATATAGCAAGGAAAGGAAGGAGAGCTGGCACATGGGGGGAGGAGAGCAAGCAAATGGGAGAGGGGGAGAGCTGGCACATGGGGAGTAGGGAAGAGAGATGGCACATGGGGGGAGGAGGAAGGCGAACTGTCACATGGGGGGAGTTGGCACATGGGGATGGGGAGAAAGGGTGGCACATGGGGGGCTGGGTAAGACAAAGGGGTGGATAAAAAAATGCAAAGGTGTAATAAATTCAAGAGGGGGAATTAAAGGACACACAGATGCAGTTTTTGAAGGGGGGAGGAGGGTGGCGGCAAAATGCATCTTCGCCTGTGTAGCCAAATATGCTTTCACCAGGCCTGTATGACATCATACTCCGGCCCCGGTCTCATTAAGCGGCGCGCTGGTGAGGGGGAGCAGAGACAGAACAGCCAGCTCCCCCCTGCGGCCGCCAAAGGAGCTCCCTCTGCGGCCGCCAGAAGAGCCAGCTCCCCCTGCGGCCAGAACAGCCAGCAAACCCTACGACCGCCATCAGAACTCCCCATGCCAGCACACAGGTGGAAATTATGTCACTGTGAGTGTATGTGTGTGTGTCTGTGTCATTTGTGTGTGTGTCTGTCATGGTGTGTGCATCTGTGTCATGGTGTGTGTGTCTGTCTGTCTGTCATGGTGTCTGTGTCAGTCTGTCATGGTGTGTGCATCTGTCTGTGTCATTGTGTGTGTCTGTCATGTAATGTGTGTCTGTGTCATGTTCTGTCTGTGTCATGGTGTGTGTGTGTGTCTGTCTGTGTCATGTAATGTGTGTCTGTCTGTGTCATGTAATGTGTGTGTGTCTGTGTCACGGTGTGTGTCTGTGTCACGGTCTCTCTGTGTTGTGGTGTGTGTGTGTCTGTGTGTGTCATGTAATATGTGTGTCTGTGTCACGGTGTGTGTGTGTCTGTGTCACGGTCTGTCTGTGTTATGGTGTGTGTGTGTGTCAAGGTGTGTATGTCTTTTTTAAGGTATGTGTCTGTCATGGTGTGTGTGTGTCTGCCATGGTATGTGTGTGTCTCTGTGTCATGGTGTGTGTGTGTCTGTGTCACGGTCTGTCTGTGTTATGGTGTGTGTGTGTGTCAAGGTGTGTATGTCTTTTTTAAGGTATGTGTCTGTCATGGTGTGTGTGTGTCTGCCATGGTATGTGTGTGTCTCTGTGTCATGGTGTGTGTGTGTGTATGTCTCTGTCATGGTGTGTCTGTGTTTCTGTCTGTGTCACGGAGTGTGTGTGTGTCTGTGTAACGGTCTGTCTGTGTCATGGTGTGTGTCTGTCATGGTATGTGTGTGTGTATGAGTGTTTTTACTCACCTTTTTTTTTCCCCCACGTCGTGCTGGTCCCCCCTCAACTGGCCCTGCCTCTATGGCTGAGATCATCAAGCTTGATGATCTCAGCCAATCCGCACTGAGACAGGAAGCACCTCTAGTGACCGTCTGAGTGTCTGTCACTAGGAAGCAATGTAAACACTGCATTTTCTCTAAAAAGTCAGTGTTTACATTGAAAAGCCTGCAGGGACAGGCTATAGACACCAGAGCCACTACATTAAGCTGTGTGTGTGTGCGCACATGCTAGTGAGTGGGCTTGCTTGTGTGTGTGTGTGTGTGTGTGTGTGTGCCTGCTACTGAGTGAGCTTGTGTTTATGTCAATGACCTTATGTATATCAGTGAGATTGTTTGTCTATGAGGCTGTGTATCAATCAGCTTGTGTCAGTGAGATTGTCTGTGTCTGCATGTGAGTATGCTTACTGTATTACTGTATTACTCTTAAAGGACCAATATTTTATATTGGAAAAAGCAATATATATATATATATATATATATATATATATATATATATCTCAATCATCTAGGGTGGCAAGACATAGACTTACATATAACATGCGACAATATAAGGCGCAATGACTTATGGGGCTGGCATAGATTTTTGCTTTGGAATCCCCAGTCCGACCCTGAATACAACAGTATAACACGAAAGTATACACAGTGTAGAAGAATATGATAGCTCTGAAACACCTATGAAGTGGTATCCCCTACACTACTATAAATACAAAGCAATACATACAAAATAATAGGTGGAGCTGGGTAATGTCCTGAATGATCTGTAAAACAGAATAAATACAAATAGCGTAGTATGTCTGAATAATATAATAATAAATGGTAGGAGTAAGATAGTTGAACTCACAAGATTAGAGTCATACCGTCATATGACTCTAAAAGTATGCTCCTTTGGACCATTGGGGGGTTGTCCAAACCCTTCTTTCTTTGATTTCTCAGTGTTCTCCCTTGTGATCCTTAAGATGTCGCCCAAGGAATGCTCAATATTCAGGAAATCCTTTTATACTGGTATTCCTTTATTCTCAATTAAAATAGCAAAAATGACAATAAACTATACCAATAAATATTGAGTATAGATAGAGTCTTATGTGAATTAAAATAAGAGTGTCCAAAACGCGTTTCGCCTGATTAACAGGCTTCCTCAGTTGGCTCTGAAATTTCTTCTTATGTTTCTCCGTTTTAAAAAGTTCCGCTGGCCGGTTTCGCCACATTTATGCGGCACTTCCTGGTTCCGTCCATTGGACGTTCATTTCCGGGTCGCATCAAAATGGAACGCACGTGCGTTCCAACTGTCTCCTTCCTGCCTCCACACGTCAGGTGATCGCTCCACACCACTGGGCAAAGAAGAATTGGAACGCTTGTGCGTTCCACCTATGTATCTCGTTTTAAACACCTAGTAACAGTATATCAACAATAAAAACATTGTATCAATAAGAGATATTGTATCAGAAATATTGTGTCTGAAAAAAGATAGCACAGGGGTAAATGAAGCACCAAATTATATGAGACCAAATGGGTTAATAATGATCATAGAGCCCCTAATACTTATTAGCTTGTCAATAAAAATAAAGTTGAAAGAGGACAGAAAATAGACCTAAACATCTGCAGTGGGTCTATTGTAGTAGTTTTGAGTGAAGAGTGAGCATCCATCTTTAGGGGTTGGTGTGAGTAGGGTAGAGCTGCTAGTGCAACAGTGCAGTTTTTTTTGTAAAAATTTTTGCAAGGACACAATTTTAGTAAAATGATTGCTACCCCTTTTCCCGGGCTCATATCCAAAGACTGCTCTGTCACCGTTCTGAGTAAACCTTCCAATTCTGTTTTTTGTTCCGGCTGTGAGTGTATGCATGTAATTGCATATGCATAAATTGCATATGCATAAATTGCATAGCCTTTCTTTAATTTTATTAATTTATTTTCAACTTTTTGCTTACAATTTGCATTAATCTTGTTTTAGAAACAGAATTCATGCCTTTCCCTAGACATTCATGGTTGACTTAAATTCGAAAATTTCTAATAGATTTCAGATGTACCGAATAGTTGTGTGAACAAATTTCAGACAAACTGATAAGATTTTTGGAACAAATTAATGAACAAAAAAGATTTCCGTGTGCATCTCTAGTTTATAGCCCTGCACCAATAAAAGGTGCATCAATGTGGCATTTGACTAAAAAAAGTGATCTGTAGGGGTTATTTTGCTGATAGTATTGATTATTTTTTTAGACTATTTTAGAGAATTTGGAAATGTGGACAACATATGTAAAAGTAGAGGTGTCACCAATGAATTGCACCCTAGTTTCCATGATGATTGCCATTTGTTTAGTAGTTTGCACAATTTTATTAGCATGATGCCATATGTAAGGTGACCTTTAAAAATAGCCATTGCTTTAAAATGTTGTAAGTGGCATCTCATAATCGTTTGCACACAGGTGTATGCTAGCTCAAGAAAATAAATACAGAGATAAATGTTAATCTTTAATTTGGTGAACGCATTTATAATTATCCAATTAATTCTGCATCGTGACTAATTCAATCAAAATTGCGATACTAGCGCTTAAATATCCAAGCCGTGAATATAGCAAAATTGGAGAATTTCCTGCAAATCACCTGCTTTAGTCTCAATTTTGCCATGCACTAAAACTCAGACTTACTTTTAGATTAAATAATATGCCTTATTATGAGACATTTGGAGCATTGTTGCAGCATCTCTACACACGTTAATCCAAGAGGAAACATCAGATTTAGAATGTGATTTGCTGTTTTATAGAATACCTGTTTAAAATGTTAATTGCTTAATAAATCGACTAAGTCTGTTTGGCAGACACACCTGACATTAACACTGTCTATTCATTTCTTTATAAATGTTATCAGAGGAAAGATGTCAGCAGCTCTTTATAAAGTAATAAAAACACACATGAAATGACCACTCCCCAAAAGCACTTCAGCTTGTTAACACATGTATACTTCTAGCCAAATTTGAGTTGCCACCTTTTTTTGGAGAAAGTACCGGCCATGCTAGATTTAAGTACAACTCAAGGAGTGACATAAGAGAAAAATGATGGAAGTGAAAATTCCCTAAACCACTAATAAACTACTTATAATATGTGTCTGACTGCATGTGTAGTGTTGTGTATGTGTAGCATTGTATGTATACTTACATAGTACATAGTTACATAGGCTGAAAAGAGACAAGCGTACATATAGTTCAGAATTTCTCACATTTGTTTTTGCTGTTGATCCAAAAGAAGGCAAAAAAACCCAGCTTGAACGATTCCAATTTTGCAGCAAAGTAGGGAAAAATCCTTCTTGACCCCAGAATGGATGTTAGATATCTCGTTCGCCATATATTTACCCAGATCTAGCATGCTTATGTTAAAACATATATGCTGTTATCCACACCATTTCATTCTAAGCAATCCCTGAGAGCATTTATCCAATCCAGCACCTGGGACAAATGTTTACCTTCCCTTTGATGATTTCTCACTAGTTATATATTCTTAATTTGTACCTAGCTTGGCATTGATGTGTTATTTAAAAAAAAAACTTTTTTCCATGAATGTTTGCCGCAAACTCCTGGAGGAGTGTGGAAGCTGACCTCCTGCCCACCAACTATGGTCCAGGTCTGAGACCCTGTTCGGGAGTTAGCCTGCCCAGCCACCCTTATCGGCTTTTCCTCGGTGCCCTTGGTTAGGCACATTCCTTTCTAAAAAATGTAAGCGACCGCTCCCTCCTTGGTGGCCAATCGCATGAACAAACACGCGAACGATCCTCAGCGCCACTTAGCCACAGCTGCTATGGAACTATTTTCAGCATGAGGACTTCTTGGTTCCCGGTCACCTTGGATCGTTTGTGCGAACTAACCCACGAATGGTCCTCAGTAGTACTTAGCCGCGATTGTTATGGAACCGTTTTCAGCTATGTGATCTTGCATCCCACTAAGTATCCCAACTTAGTCCAGTGTTTTAAACCACTTGACGACCTGCCAGGTGCCTGAGACTAAGAAGAACAAATGTTCCCTGAGAGCCAGACGGAGCACTGGGTATTTCGGCCGCAGGCGGTGCTGAAAGTTGACCAGCGTAAGTACACATTTCTGTGGAACTATTTTGGACATAGGACCATGTGTGCGGACGGTGGCATTTCCTCTATGCTGCATGGATCTGATCTATTTGGACAACTTGGGTGCTCAGATTAGGACTGTTTGGGGATATAGGACATGTGGGGTTACTGTGTGTTTTATTATGTTTTTGGCACTTTTATGTTTTTATGTTTGGCTCTCTGTTCCTGGGAGATAATCAACTTACTGGCCGTTAACTCAATTATCTCCCAGGCACAGAAACTACTGGAAGGAACTTGTATTGTATTGTATGGAGATCCCCTGCTGGGGTCTGTGCATAAAAGGTAGAGTTGGGCTTATCAAAATCAATTGTACTCCCAGAACAATGTGTTGTCTAGTTACTGGGAGGTGAAAAGGCTATTCACTGCTCAGCATCTTATTCCAGTTCATGGAGGATTGTAAGGACTATAGCTCCCAGGACTATAGCTCCCAGGACTGGGAGGAAATAGAGCTAGTTCCCTATCCTGTTCCAGTACGCAGAGTCTCCAGGAGGAACCCAGTCAAGCCATGCTTGGAAGCTCTGCTACACCTTGTACTACTCATGCCTTCATATCTGTATATTATACTCTTGCTAATTTGTAAAAAAAAAAATGTAAGCATTGCACTGAAAAAAAAGATTTTTTTTTTAAGACGTAAAAAAGGATGGGAACAAGTTATGGAAAAGGGAGAGCAATTTTACTATATCCGTATACAGCACTGAAACGTAAAGCACGTAACCAACCCTATCTGTGTGTCCCCCTGTCTATCAGGGCAGTTGAATAATTCTAAATCACAATTTTACCCTAAACAGCCCAAAGCATTGATCTTTCCTTAATATCCCAGCCATAGCCAGGCACAGACCTTTTCCTAATGGCCTGTTTTTATTTTCTCTAGGACAGCTTAATAAGTAAGGAATAGTTTTTTTGCATTTATACGTCATTCATTTTGATGATCCTTAAACTTCATTATTAAAAATGACATTTGAAGATAATGGGGTGAAGGGGTTACATTTCAGCGATGTAGGTACAGCACAGAGGCGGACACTGGCTTATTATGTTTTCTTAATGTTGTCAGATCCATCTGCTTTGTCTGGCAACAGAATGTATTATTCCAGTTTTCTACCTTCTCATTTTGGAGCTCATTGTTGCAGCGTGTGACATTATGTATCTCTGCCAGTGCAATCTGTAGCTGAGGGTGGATATTTGTCATCTCTGTATTAGCATATTACAGCTGAAGGGATCTTATTTGCATTCCAGAGACATCATGCACCAGACATGCAGAAACATGGTAGAGATTTTGCGTTATAGCCCTGATAATTCAATTCCGCCTCAAATCCTATTCTCTCTTGTTTTCTGCAGCAATCCAGATCATAGAGTGAAAACCTGTATTAAACCAGCTGTTGATGTTTGGCAACTCCTATAGCCTTCGAGCAACTCCTTCGGTGCTGAGGATGATAGGATTTGAAACCTATTAACTTGGTGTGGCATGCAAATTTCCTAACTCTGATCTACACTCTGATCTACACATAAATTGTGTTAATCATGGATATTGTTATATCCCTAAAATGTCACAGGCTTATTGTCAAAATTTTACTTAATGAACCACGACCCACATTATTTATTTATTTTTTTAACCATATTTCATATAATCAGTCTCATGTGATGTAATGAATTGATTCTATATCTACTATAATGCATTCCCTGTGTCTAATTTCCTGTCAAATTTGCCACAGTTAAATCTATATCTTGCCAAATTTCATCCAGTGATCTTTGTCATATTTGATCATATGATATCATGTATCAATCCCTATTTTGCTATACAGTATTTCATTGTATGTTCCGTAGGATTCTATGACCTCATATATCATTCCATATTTTAGCCCATGATCCCCTAATTTGCTCCATATTTTCTCTGTTCCATTTTAAATGCCTGAACAAAAACAAACATATTAAATAAATAAATAAAAATACACTTTAAATGGACGACTACCTGAAAGTGTGAATAGCTAATTTGGTTTTCTCATATTTTTCTTTTTTTGTGTCATTCTCTTTTTTTTTATTTTTTTTATGGAGGTAGATGGATAACATGCTTATACGAGATAACAGTGAAAGAGAGACAATGGTTTTCACATTAATAAGCATTGACACAAGGCATACCTCCTTTTTAAAAAAAAAAGAATAATGACATAAGGGAACAAGAAATGATGAGGTGACGCTAATTTTCATAGGAGCCTGACTTACTAAACTGCAAGGTGATTATTTCACGTCATAGGTATGCAAAAATCAAAAATAAAGAAATAATCTACTGGTCCTAACTAGAAAAATTCAATTTCCTCACAATGCAAATCATTGTTTATCTCCTATTTTAATGTCCTAGGCTTCAGATCCCAACATCTCATAACAAAACATACAATAAGTATGTACTATCACCTTGCAATAATATTAGCATATTACAAATGAATCAAACACCAACACAGTTGCCCTTCAGGCAAATCTACCCCACTCCTGAGCAGATATTAGGCACAATGTCCAATATAACATTCTCATATATAGATATAGCAGCCATTAAATCTTGTACTCACAACTGGCAGGCTCCATTGGACAGTCAATCCCAAATTTGCTCTATTGAAAACATTAGAGGACGAACCAACAGTTATGTATTAAAATCCAAAAGCTATATTTACAGTTATAGGAATTTTAACATTTAAAAAGTACAGATATCACTGCATCCCAAATATCAGTACCATCTCAATGCACTCAATATAAGTCTACGCGTTTCGTATTAAAACGATCCCTGATAAAGGATACAGTTTTAATACGAAACGCGTAGACATTTGTTGGCCATCATTGTTCTATGCATAGCCCAATACATATCCATTGTGCAATTGCAATGATAATACAATTGACAAAACTACTATTGTCAATGATGCATCATATGGAATCAGATAAATCGATATTTTGATGCCAAATATGACTGTAATCCAATATTAGGCATATGATGGATATGTAAGTGCTCTTGTGCTATTCTAAAAACATGTTCCTGCATAGACAAGAAGTGCAAATCAAGGTGTTAATTCACTTAACTGGGAATAGTGGATCACATAAAAGTCTCGGTCAATGCAGGTAAAGCCCGGGAAAAAAACCTGACAAAGGGAATTATTTTTTAAATCCTCCTGTTTGGCCTGAAACGCATGACTATCTTTTCAAAAAACCATCAGATTTTATGAAATCAAATCTGAACATTGATAGAAAAGGTAATTAATTCACTTTTGTAACTAAAAAGATATATAAATCCTTATTGGGAATATAAAGAGTATGTTGTTGCCAAGAAAAAGAATATTAACCCGATGATAAAAACTATTAGAACAATAAATTAACGTCCGTATCCAATCTATGTTATGCAGGTTTTCTTGTAGTCAATATAGAGGGTTCAGAGAAGGGCTACTAAACTGGTTCATGGATTGCGGGGTAAAATTTACCAGGAAAGGTTAAAGGATCTTAACATGTATAGCTTGGAGGAAAGGCGAGACAGGGGGGATATGATAGAAACATTTAAATACATAAAGGGAATCAACACAGTAAAGGAGGAGACTATATTTAAAAGAAGAAAAACTACCACAACAAGAGGACATACTCTTAAATTAGAGGGGCAAAGGTTTAAAAATAATATCAGGAAGTATTACTTTACTGAGAGGGTAGTGGATGCATGGAATAGCCTTCCAGCTGAAGTGGTAGAGGTTAACACAGTAAAGGAGTTTAAGCATGGGTGGGATAGGCATAAGGCTATCCTAACTATAAGATAAGGCTAGGGACTAATGAAAGTATTTAGAAAATTGGGCAGACTAGATGGGCCGAATGGTTCTTATCTGCCGTCACATTCTATGTTTCTATGTTTCTATGTTTCTATATATGAAAGAGATGTATTGTCCTTTTACTTTCTCTCTGGAGGATTAATTAGCTCATACTTGAAACTGAAATGTACTAAAATCTAAATTAGACTGGGCAAATTATTTTTGGGTTCTTATGCTATGATTTGACGTTAGCTGTTCTTGGATAGGCCTTTATTGGGTGGTAAGCATTTTGTATTTTGTGTTGCAAATGAGTCACCAAGTAAATTTTAAAACTACAGTGCGATATTATTTGATCCTTTACTTTAAATCATTTTTTGTAGATGTAGACATGTTATCAGGTTATGTGACGGTAAGAACTATGTACCATACTTCATTATTAATGTGGAATTGTACATGCCCCCTTCTGAATTCCTTTCTTACATATTTGTCACACTGCATGGTTTTAGGTCTGTACAAAATAAAAGACAAAAGTTATCAAACACCAACTGGTATTTCCGATAATTGGAGGGCAGTTTTTAACATCGCTGTGGATGCATTATGGCCAAGTCTTCATTGCACAAATTGCTGTCATTCATAGACATTAGAGGCTTTTCGAGCATGCACTGCTTGTTTACAGACATACCACAGTATCTCAACGGGGATCAAGACAGGACATTGACTTGGCCATTCCAAAAACTTGCTTGTTTTCAGTTGTTTTGTGTTGAGCTTACTCTTTTGGTTTGGATCATTGTTGTTCTCCACAACCGGGATATTCTGCTTTTTAATTTTTGATAAAGAGAAGAATTCAGCATTCTTTCAATAATGTCAAGTCTTCTCTACTCGTAGGCAGTCTTGGGAGTCATGTTCTGTTTTACAAAAGATGAGCACGAATTTCTCTTAGGAATGGTTTTCACCTTGCAATTCTCCTGTGTATTCTGTTTTTCCCCAGTTTTTCTCGTATTTTTGAATAATGTAAAATGACACCTCTTTTTTGTTTTTGTTTATTGTATTTCAAATATTTTTATGGTAATTTTACATTAGACAGGAAGTTGTCAAGTTTAGCATTCTGTCCTAAATTATTTCATGTCAGATTGTGGTTAATAGAATAAAGTCTGAGATTGTAATTGTGCAAAATTGTCTCAACAGTTTATACAATATTTGAATGTATATTATCTAAAATATTTTTTTATCTTTTCCTCCCCAGCCTTGCGTTCTTGGAATGACAACAGTTGCAGTCGTGAATTCCCTTTTGTCTGCAAGATATCCTTTCCCACAAACATGTGATAATGCGATTGTTTGTGTATAGATCATAACATGTCAACCTTACAGAATTATATAATTCAAAATCTACTTTGTCTACATACCATGAAAAATGTTGTTGGCTAGTTAAATGTTTAGCTTATGAGTGTTGCTAGCCTATGCATTTATGTATATATATATATATATATTGCCCAGAACTGAAAACACATAGGACTCCATGTCAAATTCCAAAATAAAATGTACAGGTCTGCACAACTGATTGACGGAGTTACTGTGGCAATGGTGAGTTCAGCATCACAATAAGCATTCATCGAAATCCTGAACTACTACTATTTTTAAAGGGACAGTTTAGGCACCAAAAGCACTTAATCTTTATGACGTGATTGCGATACACAAATGCTGCCTTTTCTTTCAGAGAATGTAAAACATTGCCGCTTTAGAGAAACAGCAATGTTTACAATTATATGATATTAAGCCGCTAATGGCTGTCACACAGACAGCAAATTTCCTCATGAAGATCCTGCAAAATACAAGGTCTTTACATTCAGATTCATCAAGTCCAGCATGATGATAGTGAACTCTCTTAATGCTTCTTCTAGCTAAACATTGGATTCATTGCTTCTCTATGAGAAACATCTTATTGGCAGAGCGCAGAGATTACCACGCATGTCTACGAGAAACATTGAATTGAACATTGAATTGAATTGAACATAGGTTATTATTATTGATGAATTCACGGGAAGGGGACAAACTGCACTGTGTGGAATGAATTTTATTGGCATTTATAAATAAATTAAAAAAAATGAAATGGATTATTCTCCAGTAATCTAAACACTAACACTGTAAACTTAAAACAAATATATTTGTGTTTAATCATTGGAAACTACAAAGCAGTTAATTGTTATGGTGATGACATCAGCAATGCCTGGAATATAAAATCCCAAATAAAATAAATATGAATTAAAAAAATACAAAATATAGTGACTTGGGCCCAAGGAAATCCTTGAATCCAGACTAGACTGGATCAAAGTCACCACAAATGACCAACTCTAAGTGTAAGTTGAATGAAGAAAACAGGCGAGCAAAGTGGTCTTGGGCCCATGTTTGATTTTAACTTCCTCCACTTCCCCCGTCTATATGTAGGGTAGAGGTGCAAAAACCACTGCATTGCTACTTTTACTATTTGTTAAGAAAGTACTGTGAATATTGGGGTCTTTACATTTTCTTCAAAAGACCCAGGGGTACATCTCACATAATATTCTTACAGCCATAATGCTGGTAAAGCATCATGGGAGATGTAGTCCACAACATCTGGAGCGTTGAAGGTTGCCTATCCCTGATAGAGCGTTATGTCTATCTACAAGGTGGCATTTTGAGGAAGAGAGAGATACCGTATTTTCCGGCGTATAAGACGACTGGGCGTATAAGACGACCCCCAACTTTTCCAGTTAAAATATAGAATTTGGGATATACTCGCCGTATAAGACTACCCCTCTTCCAATGCACACCAAATAAAAATTAGCCATGATGTACAGTGAGCAGACAGAGCTACACAGCAAGACATTAAATAATGATAATCTGAAATAGTATTTAAAGCCCAGGTATGTGCCATGCTGTTTGGGCATATAATCCATGCCTGCTGGTCTAGCACACAGGAGGCTTATTGCGTTATATTCTTTTTACTCCCCCCCCGTTGTTTTTACTCCCCCCCTCCATTGTTTTTACTCCCCCCCCCATTCTTTTTACTCCCCCCCATTCTTTTTACTTTTCTTTTTACTCCCCCTCCATTCACTCCCCAATCCTCCCTACATTCGTCTCACCTCCCCTTCCCTGTGCAGAGTGGGTAGCCGAGCTCCTCTTCGTCCTGTCAGTCTGGCTGGGTACCGCGCGGTACAGGAGATTCAGTTACCTGTTCCCGGCCGGACTGAAAGGAAGCGAGCATTCAGTGTGCACTTCCTTTCAGTCCGGCGGGAACAGGTAACTGAATCTCCTGTACCGCGTGGTACCCGGCCGGACTGACAGGACGAAGAGGAGCTCTGCCACCCACTCTGCACAGGGAAGGGGAGGTGAGAAGAGAGGCAGTGCGGCAGCTATCTGAGTGCTCTCTATAGAGCACTCAGGTGGCTGCAGCATTAGAAGGGCCGGCGATGGGGGCGCAGGGCGCCCCCGGCAGCCATATAGACCCTATACCCGGCGTATAAGACGACCCACGACTTTGGAGAAGATTTTCCAGGGTTAAAAAGTCATCTTATACGCCAGAAAATACAGTATATAGCCATATAGACCCTATACCGGGCGTATAAGACGACCCACGACTTTGGAGAAGATTTTCCAGGGTTAAAAAGTCATCTTATACGCCAGAAAATACAGTATATACATATCCATATCTCACATTCTTTGCTGCTATTATCAGCTTCTTTTTTCCGGTTCTTTAGCTCTCGGCAGTTTTATCTGCCAGGAGCTGCGTCACTATTATTCATTCACACAGTTATGGGTTATGGGAAATGGCAGGGTGGAGTGACAAAGGTCCACCTATTGTCCCATATTTTCAAGAACAGGTCCTACATGAGATGAAGATGTTCCTAATTTGTCTCTGGTATATCTTCTGATTGCTAATTTCAATTAAATGTTCCCTTTAATGGTTTTTTTTCTTCATAGTAAACTTTGTTTTGCTAGGGGTTGCTTCACCTGGCAGTAATGCAGCAGAAAAAAACGTAACTGTATCAGCTGTTTATTGCACGTCATGGGCAATAATGTGAAGCCCAAATCACGTAAAGAGACACTATAGGCATCAAAACAACTTTAGCTTAATGAATGAGTTTTAGTGTATAGATCATCCCCCTGCTGTCTCACTGCTCAATTATCTGCCATATAGGCATTACATAACTTTTGTTTCTGTTTAACCACCCCTTGCCCCACCTCCCCTGGCTGTCCCTCATACAGCCTGCATTAAAAAAATGTTTTTATTTTCAATCAAATGTACATTTGCTTTAGATGTTATTATCTCCTGCTCTGTAAATGTAACTTTAATAAAAGGAAATATATAAATAAGCAGGAGATAAGAAATTCTAGATTAAACAAACTGTGCAATAAATGAACCTAAATATCTAGGTCATTTTTCAGGAAGTGTTTAGGAAGTCTGGGCAATGCAGGGAGGTGTGACGGGGCTGCATAAACAAAGTGATTTCACTGCTAAATAACAGAAAATTGAGCAGTGAGACTTCAGGGGCATGATCTACACACCAAAACTGCTTCATTGAACTAAAGTAGTTTTGGTGACTATAGTGTCCCTTTAAAAGACAAACTTGACTGAAGCTGCGATTGTTCTCTGTGGACCTGCACAGCAGGGTAAATGTTACTTACATGATCATTATAAAAAATGTGCAAATGAAAACACAAATATATACTATTGATATGCCAGGGATTTTCATTATTTCGCCCTTTGGCCCTTCAAAATACCCACCATAGGTTTTTTGCATGTTTACTGTGGATTTTTTTTTTGTTTGTTTGTTTGTTTGTTTGTTTGTTGCATTTAGAAGAAAAATCCTGCACAATATTCATGAGCACATTTCTATCCTTTTGTCTGTTTCTGAAGTGAGATCTGACTTATTAGCTTACTAAAATTCCTGAGATTTATTTTGACTGTGATAGGTTTATTCACTAAATGGTGAATTGCTCATAAGGGAATTGCAGCTGGGTTTATGTCAAATAGCTGAGCTAGAAAAATATTTATTCCAGCTCATTTTTTGACCGAAGAATACTTTTTTTCGGCCTTGTCAATTCCTACCAGTTAGTGGTTTAATGAATAGCCCTGTGAGAGTCTTTTATCAACGGTTAACAAAAATGAAGGTTACTTTATCACTTTAATATATTAATTGCCTGCTATTTCCCTTCTTAGACTGATCAACAAACTGTAGGAAATCTAAAAATGCAACTACTAATAGTATGCTGTAGCAATGTTCTATTCATTCAGCAAAATCTTTTAAACAATATGTAGCAGAGTATTTGCTTTAAGATATTATAACTGTTTTTACATTTTAGAAAATAACCTGCTGTGGTATAAGAGAGCATGAATAAAGCATTGGCGGAACATATTTTATTAAGCCATGTTTTTAATGACAAGGTACAGATTTATTCAGACTCGTGCACATTCCTTACATATAGTCAGGTAATAGTTTTTGCACTAAATGCACTTCTTGCTAAACAAGTTTATAGGTAAAGTTTATTTTAAAGGCTTAAACAGTCAATGATTGTACAATTCTTGTTATTAATTAGTTATTTTTTTGTCAGTGAGTCAGACTTACAATTCAGATACCCACCTGCTACCACCCCAAAAAATCCAGTACCCCCTCCACACTTCCTGGCACAGCCTCCTCACTACCACTCCACCCCAAGCTCCCACCCCCCCCTCCCCCCACAAAATACATTCATACACAGAATAACATTCATATAGATACAAACACTGACACATAGATACAAAGGGACACACAATGACACACGTAGAAACACAGACACACAGATAAACATGCAGACACATATATATATACACACACACAGTCAAACAAATAGATACACAGAAACACAGATATACATACAAACAGATACACACACAGACACAAACAGATACAAAGACACATGCAGATACACAGACACATGCAGATACACAAACACACATAAGACACACAAAAATACAGGCACACATACAGATACACATGCACACATATAAGTACACAGATACACATACAGACACATTGACACACATATAAGCATACAGAAATACAGATAAACATACAGACACACAGATATATATTTTTGACACCCTCCTGTTTCATACCTTTTAGGTGCAAGTGGGTGGCTGATGCTATTGGAAGTCAGAGGCTCTCACTCTGCCCTCTCCTCCTTCCTCCCACGTGGCACTTGGCGTTGGAGGAAGTGATATATACACATACAGACACACAGATACACATATAGACACATATACACAGAGACACAGATACACATACAGACATGCATATTCACATGTAGAAACACAGATACACATACACACAGACACAAATATTCACATACAGATACATGCACACAGATTCACATACAGACACACACATATACACATACAGGAACACAGATACACACTGACACACAGATAAGCATACAGACACACAGATAAACATAGACACACATATATATATATATATTTTTTAGCCACCCTCCTATTTCCTACATTTTAGATGCAGGCGGGTCACTTCCCTGGGGTACAGTTGCTGACTGATGCTGTTGGGAGTCAAAGCCTCTCACTCTACACTCTCCTCCTTCCTCCCACATGGCACTTTTAGTTGGCTGGGAGGAAATAACCAGCTGTAACTTCCTCCCAGCGCTGACATTATTTGAGGGGCTCGGAGTGCTGACTGGGCCCCTGACTTTAGGCCAAAGTGCTGACTGGGCCCCTGAGGACACAACGCCATCTGGTGGCCCTAAGTGCATGGACTACCTGATGGCCCCCCTGAGCATGATATATAGGCACACATACAGACATATATGCAGATACACAAAAACACAAATAGATACACAGACACACAGATAAAAGCACTGACACACAGTTTCATATAAAGACACACTGTTAAACATCCAGACACATGCAGACACACCTTTTTACATACAGACACACCTTTTTACATACAGACACAAATATACGCATACAGGCAAACAGATACACATGCAGACACACATATTCACATACAGACACAGATACATATACAGGCACATATTTACATACAGACACAAATATACACATACAGACATATATATTCACATACAGACACACAGTTACATATACAGACACATATTTACATACAGACACACAGATATACATACAGGCACACACTCAAATATAGAAACACAGATACACATACAGACACATAGATGCACATACAGACACATATATTCACATACAGACACACAGATACACTTACAGACACACATTCACATGTAGACACAGATACACATAAAGATACACATGTAAACACACAGATACCGACACTGTGTTAAACATACAGATACACATACAGGCACACAAATACACATACAGACACACATTTGCAAACACCGATACACATACAGACACATATACACATATTCACATACAAACATATACAGGCACACATATACAGACATACATATTCACATACAGACACACAGATACATATATATATATATATATAGACACACATATTCACACGCAGAAACACAGACACACATACAGACACACAGATACACTTACAGGCACACATATTTACATACAGATACACATACATGCACACCGATACACATACAGACACACATTCACATACAAACACAGCTACACATACATACATATAGACATGCATGTACACAAATAGATACACATACACACAGTTAGTTACACATACACACAAACAGACACACGTGCAAAAAAATTACATTTATTTCACCATCTGTTTCCTACCTTTTAGGTGCAGGTGGGTGGCTTCCTTTGGATCCAGTGGCTGGCTGATGCTGTTGGGAGTCAGAGGGTCTCACTCTGTACTCCACTCCTCTCTTCTCGCATAGCGCTCTGTGTTAGCTGGGAGAAAGTGACCAGCTGTCACTTCCTCCCAGTGCTGACATCATTACGATATCATCATCACGCTATCAAAGGGCCACAGTGCTAACCTGGCCTCTGAGGACACAATGCCAATAGGTGTCCCTAAGTGTATGATTTACCCGATGGGCCCCCTGAGTCTGCAGTCCCAAAATAATTTATTACTGGCAGAAGGGAAATGGGGCAGCTGATTTGTGCCAAGGATTAAGGGCCCAGGGCAGCTGCCCCGTTTGCTCCATGTTAAAAACAGTCCTGACAACTTCAATGATTCTTTAAATGAAATAGATAGCAGAGAATCATGGGAGTTGTAGTTCAGCAATATCTGGAGGGCCAGAGTTTGGAAAACCCTGATTTAGAGAATTCACAAAAGGTTCAGAAAATTCATAACTCATTTTCTGCCTACATAAGTAAACAAAAAAAGCAATCACCATGTATCCGTATAGATTTGAAAAGTAATACATGCACATTTAAAGTTAGGGTAGGCACACCTAATAGACAATTGCCAGTACTAGGCTGTATATTCTGCTTACCGGTAACTATGACACTGTATGAGAGGTGGTGATCTCTAGTGAAAGTATTCCTTGCAGGTAGACAAAAAATGGAGTTCTGCGCATCAAGTAGGTAGTGCACACCCAGGTGCTACTGCAGTTTTTTAGAGGACACAATATAAACAAACGTTTCGGGCAACAAGCCCTTCGTCAGTGGAAATGTGTGTGAGGAAGGGTTTGTTGCCCGAAACGTTTGTTTATATTGTGTCCTCTAATAAACTGCAGTAGCACCTGGGTGTGCACTACCTACTTGATGCGCAGAACTCCATTTTTTGTCTACCTGCTTGTTACACTGTTGGAACTACAGTAAGGAGACCCAGCAGCTCGGATTTAACTGTTCATTACTGTGTTCTTTATCTTTGATAATCAGTGGGCATCACTGATGCTTCTGCCTCATCCTATGCATAGTGAAAGTATTCCTTGGATATTCACAAAAACTTCTGGGGCACAGGCAGCCACCGGACCGGGGGACCATCCTAATTTCAAGCTCATATCCCAATGTTCCAGACTGGTTCTCAGTTATTCCATATCTGGAAATACCAAAGACTTGCTTACAGCAAGTACAGAGCAAGCACATCATTAAAGGTTTGCTAGGTCCACCTATAAAGTTAGGTGGACCTTGCTGTAGTGGTTATGGTGTTAGAAGTGAACTGGCTCCTCCCTGTTATGAATCTAAACCTTTTTAGAATGGTTTGACTTCTTGCCTACAGTCTGCTGAGTGTAGCTCCCATGCTCCTACTGGCACTCTCAGCCAATAATTATCTCAGGAAAGCCAACGGAACCTCATGCTTAGGAGCTTCTGGCTCTCTGTCGTAAACATAGGAGGTGGGGGGGGGCCCAGCAGACCCCCAGTAATAGGTCAAACTGATCTAAAACAGTGGGATGTGCAAATATTGCAAGCTGTGGTGGTTATGGTGCTTGGAGTGTTCATTTAACATTAAAGAGTCCTGTCAAATTAAGGATCTTGGTTCAGTCTCACTAAATGACAAAACAAATGTAAAAATTATTAAATGCTATGCAACGTGTTTGAGTAAAATGGCCCCCCAAAAACTTTTTTTTATTGTTTATTTATATAAATATATACCCAGAATTATTTTCTGACAACAGTTGTATATTTACATAACACATATTAATAAACATCACGTGGCTTAAATATATTATGCATCAGTTGTGTGTGTTTAGAGAACATGTTTTCTGAGTGTAATTTGTAGTAATACATTTTGATATATAGTATTTCTTTACATCATAGTTCCCAGTATAGTGCTTGGGGTCCTCTGGCACTGTTCCTCCTTTTTTAGAGCAGTTTAACACTGAATAAGGGTCAAAGATCTACCTCACTGGCCGACAGGGGAGAGCTCAAGTACAGAGGAGATTCTATTGTATCACAGCATTGATGCGAATTACCAGGTTGTCTGGTCTGATGAATCATGTTTGCTTTTAGATCAGGTCTATGGTTGGGTGCGTGTGCGTCATTTACCTGAGAAAAAATTATAGCAGGATGACCTATGAGAAGAAGGCAGGTCAACTGAGGCAGTGTTAGGCTTTGGGGAACTTTGGGTCCTGGCGTTCATGTGGATGTTACTTTGACATGTACCACCAATCTAGAGCTTGTTGCAGACCACGTACACCCTTGTGGCAGTGGCTTCTTTCAGCAGAGTAATGCACATTGCCACAATGCAAAAAAATGATCAGGAATGGTTTGAGGAACACGACGAAGAGTTCAAGCTGTTGCCTTGTCCTCCAAATACCCCAGTTCTTAATCCGATTGAGCATCTATGGGATGTGCTAGAACAACAAATCCGATCCATAGAGGCCTTACAATCCGATCCATAGAGGTCTTACTTCACAACTTGCAGGACTAAAAGGATCTGCTGCTAATGTCTTGGTGCCAAATCCTACAGGGCATCTGGCTGATCAGTGGTATGTGTCTATATATATATATATATATATATATATTTGTGGTGGGGAAAAAAGTGTGGATGAAAACCCCCTTCTGCCTGAAGTAAGTGGTTAGTTAATACATTGCTAAACAAAAATACACACACCAGTCAAGCCATTAGACTTGCTTTTCCCAGAGAAATCTCACTTTAACAGTGCTCTCACTACTGCTAGGGATTCTGGGTAGGCGTATGCAAAAACATGGTTCTTTGTTGAGCTCATTTGCATATGCCTACCCAGAATCCCTTGCAGTAGTGAGAGCACTGTTAAAGTAAGATTTCTGTGGGAAAAGCAACTCTTATGGCTTGACTGGTGTGTGTACACATTTACGGGAGTGCACTGAAGAAACTGGCCTTGGGACAGCAAAGAGGGTAAATCCGTTCCTGTCTGTATCTATATACATGCAGATGGAGTGCACTCACCTGAACATGCATATATAATAAGGGTGCTGCCGGGACCAAATTACATAACATACAAAATCCAGCGCATTCACTCACTCACTAAATACCAACTTCAAAGCCCACATAATCTAACAGTTTATTTTTTTGTAAAAAAAAATTAAAACAACTGACATAAATAATAAGGGTTTAGTTACAGTATATAGTCATACATTGCATAAGCCTGCCACAACGTCAATGTACCCCATTCTTGACAGGTCCTACTCTAGAAGCCTAATGCCTGCTCCTATGAGATTAATCCATTTACTTGGGACATCGTTTCTCCTGGGACAGCAGTACAAGGTTAAATAGGGCCCATGAATGAGGAACCTGTGACAGGGAGGGGTGCAAAATCGGGGAGTTAGTCTAGACTGCCAAATATATTTACATACAAAAGAGCTGCACTCACCTGGATTTTGTCTGTTATATAAGTAGAATTTAGTTTATTTTCTCCATCACTTGTATGTTACCTAAAGCAGTTGTGTGGCAGGGGTGTTGGAGGTGAACCATTTAGCAATTGTATATAAGAGAGCGTGGGTGTCACAATTGTGTATGAGATAGTGTGTGTGTGTGGAGCTGAGAGGGAGTAGATAAAGGAAACAAGGAGTGAATCCAGAGCAATGCAAGCGTGGGCACTTCCAAAGCCTTTCAAGTCACATTGCAGATAAACAAGAAGGATACAGAATGCAGAAAGTGCACTTCTACATTATGTAATATACTGAACATTCCCATCAGTTTAGGAAAAAATAAAACCAAACAACAGAAATACCAATGGAAGAATTAAACCCCACATTTCAATGTTACTCTAAATGTTTAATGTTTCTATTATGCAATCAACAGGACAGAAATGTTAAATGCAGTGTTTTGGGCTGATCTCGATACATTTGAATAGAAGCAGCTTTCTTTGCCAACAACCTTGAATTGTGATGCCTCCCTTACTACGTCACGTGTTCCGTTCAGAACTACAGGGATATTTACACAGGTTTTCAGTTCAAGGAAAGCATGACAGTGGCATCTATTTATCTGTCGATCTATGAAAAATGAAAAAAAGGTGCAACAACCAATAGTGTATGCAATGACCAATAGTGTATGCTAAACATTAATACCATGATAAAGATAAAACATTGGGAAACCCAAATGGGTTCCCACACCTGAATCAAGCACAAACGAGATATCTAACAGGTCACCCGGTGACCATCATTTAAATAATAAGGTTCAGGTTGTAGAGATCTCTATTTGTAACATAAATCAAGTGGAATAGATATTGTATTGTTTCCTGTATGTTTTTTCAGGTGGAAAAACAAAATAGCTTTCTCCTAATCGGCCATGTTTCCAGTTATTTTATCGTTATTTAGATAACACTGTTATTTACTTCCATGCCCTTTCATTTGTTTTTGATACTCTAGAATCAGTTACATGTACAAAACATGCATAATGTATTGTTAATAGGGCACTGTATCGTAATGATTATGCCGCTAGGAGTCTTTGAATGCTGTCCCCATGGGGCTCTCCATGACACCTAGAGACTGGCTCTCATGCTTACTTGGTAATGAAAAATGTCTACCTCTGCATCGTCCATATCAATTCCATTCAACATGGATGGCAGCAAAAGGCTAAAAGTGTTTAAAAAAAAATAAAAAATAAAACTACAACAGTAAAAACAGAAAACATGGGTTGGTGCCTATAGATCTATAGCATTATAACCACTACACCTGGCTGTAGTGGTTATGATGCCTTAAATACCCCTTAAAATTAAGAAAAAAAAAGATATATATATATATACAGGTGATATTCGAAAAATTAGAATATCGTGCAAAAGTTAATTTATTTCAGTAATGCAATGTAAAAGGGGAAACTAATATATGAGATAGGTGCATTACATGCAAAGCAAGATAGTTCAAGCCGTAATTTGTCATAAGTGCGATGATTATGGCTTACAGCTCATGAAAACCGCAAATCCACAGTCTCAGTAAATTAGAATATTACATGCAATCAATAAAACAAGGAGTGTACATAGAACAATATCGGACCTCTGAAAAGTATAAGCATGCATATGGACCCAGTACTTGGTTTGGGCCCCTTTTGCAGCAAATACTGCCTCAATGCTGCGTGGCATGGAAGCTATCAGCCTATGGCACTGCTGAAGTGTTATGGAAAACCAGGATGCTTCAATAGCGACCTTCAGCTCTTCTGCATTGTTCGGTCTCATGTCTCTCATCTTTCTCTTGGCAATGCCCCATAGATTCTCTATGAGGTTCAGGTCAGGCGAGTTTGCTGGCCAATCAAGCACAGTAATCCCACAGTCATTAAACCAGGCTTTTGGCAGTGTGGGCAAATGAAGTCAGCATCCCCATAAAGCTCATCAGCAGAAGGAAGCATGAAGTGTTCCAAAATCTCCTGGTAGACGGCTGCATTGACCCTGGACTTAATGAGCACAGTGGACCAACACCAGCAGGTGACATGGCTCCCCAAATCAACACAGACTGTGGAAACTTCACACTGGACTTCAAGCATCTTGCAGTGTGTGCCTCTCCATTCTTTCTCCAGACTCTGGGTCCTAGGTTTCCAAATGAGATGCAAAAGTTGCTCTCATCAGAAAAGAGGAATTTGAACCACTCAGCAACAGACCAGGTCTGTTTTTCTTTAGCCCAGGTGAGACGCTTCTGATGTTGTTTGTTGTTCAGGAGCAGCTTGACAAGAGGAATACGACATCTGAAGCCCATGTCCAGGATCCGTCTGTGTATGGTGGCTCTTGATGCACTGACTTCAGCCAGGGCCAGGGCAAAAAGACCTTCAGGGACAGGCTATAGACACCAGAACCACTACATTAAGCTGCAGTGGTTCTGGGGACTATAGTGTTTCTTTAATGTGAGGTAAATTAGAAATTAGTGCCACAAATAATATAGTAGATTGCTTTCTTACAACCAGATGAGGATGATGATGGGCTCTAGCTGCAGTCTGGCTCCACTGGTCTGGTGTAGAACAGGCTCTCTGGAGGCTGTTTGTAACTGTGGTCACAAAAATCAATGTTCTGGGAGAACGGGAAGCAGCTCAATTTTTGGGGGCCCTTTACACAGCTCAAGGTCTGGGCCCCAGGGTCCACCTTCATGTTTCACCAATAAGTTTGTTCACAGGGGGTGGAGTGTGTAGGGGATGTCCTGATAGGTGTGTAAGGAATGCATTGTGTGAATCTGTGTTTGTATGTGTAAGGGCTGCAAGGTGTGTTTCTGTGTATGTAAGGGATGCATTGTGTGTAAGGGTTGCATTGCTTGTGTGTGTGTCTGTGTGTGTAATGAATTGTGTGTTTTTCTGTGTACAAGGGGTGCATTGTCTTTGTGTGTAAGGGGTGCATTGTGTGTGTGTAATGGATGTCAATCCCTCCCCACTTCCTTGTCGCTTTCTTCTACCCCATTCCCCCCCCCCCGTCAATTTCTTTCTCCCCCGTCAATTTCTTTCTCCCCGTCAATTTTTTTTCTCCACCCCGTCAATTTCTTTCTCTCCCCTCTTTCTCCCCCTCCTCAATTTCTTTCTCTCCTCCCTGTCAATTTCTTTCTCTCCTCCCTGTCAATTTCTTTCTCCCCCGTCAATTTATTTTCCCCCCCCCCATCAATTTCTTTCACCCCACTCTTCTACCTCTGTTGTAGCGTGGCCGAGCTCTGTATGGTCTGCGGGCACAGGGAGCTTTTGTTTCCTGTACCTGGCCGGACTGAAAGGAAGTGTGCACTTCCTGTCAGGCCGGCCGGGTAAAGGAGACAGATGCTCTCTGTACCCGCAGACTATAC